GGAGGAGGAGGAGGAGGAGGAGGAGGAGGCAGAGGAGGAGATGGAGGGTCGAGCCTCTCTTCTTCCTCCTCCTCCTCCTCCCTCCCTTCCGAAGTTCTCTGATGGCAGCGGCCTCCCAGAGGGAATCCCTGTAAAACGCCAGGGCCACCTCGGATCCATCCAGGGGCCACCCTGGGCCACCTCAGCGGCATCCACTGGCGGCGCGCACGAGGGAGTGGCGGAAAGGGGGGTGGGCTTCCAATAAGGCGTGGTGCTTCTTAGAAGGCAGGGCAGTTCTTAGAAGGCCCCTGAGGCTTCTCAGAAGGCTTCTCTGAAACCGGGAGGACTGCAAGACTATCTCTGCCTTCTGAGAAGCCTCCCTTTCTCCTTAGAAGCCGCCCCCCTCGCGCTACCCTTCCATGCGCACAGCCATCCAGGGGCCATCCTGGGCTCGAAGAAGAACATAAGCATAAACTTCCGGAGCTTCGCGCGGGTTTCTTGGATCGGCGCTGGGCGCCCCCCCTCCCTGGCGGCGCCATCTGGCGCCACCCCCGGCGCGCTCTGCGGCCAGGGAGGGGGGCCCGGCGCCGATCCAAGAGCTACGCGCGGAGTTCCGGAAGTTTATGCTCATGCCGCTGTTTCTTCTTCCAGTCCTGGGCGCCTCACGTCGGCGGCGAGCGAGGGGGGGAAGTGAGAAGGGGCGGGCCTTCTTAGAAGGCTCGGAAGTCCGCCGTCCTTCCGAGAAATGTTCTAAGCCTTCCCCGAAGACGCAGAAAACTTTTCAGAAGAAGCGAGGGCTTCTGAGAAGTCCCGCCACCTTCTGAGAAGGCCTTCTCCTTCTCACGCCCCCCCCTCGCTCGCCGCCGATCTCGGGCCCATGTGTTGCCAGAGGTGTCCCCAGGATCTCGAAGTAGGCCTTGATGGTTTCTCGCGCTGCTGCACCAGCCCGCTGCCACTCTGCTCGGTTGGCGCCCACGAGTCGACGTGCCATCTGGTGAGGGCAGTGTATGCCCGGGCACACTGGCTACGGAACACCAGCCACCGATCGACACACAAGGCTTCGCAGCAAGCATGGATGAAGCACCGGCCGAACTTGGCCGAAAAGCGGGAAATAGCTCAGCCCCCGAACCACCACCACCGCTGAGCCGAGCGTCCGGAAGGACGCGTGGGCAGAGGAGTGCGCGATTGGCAGCTCTTCGGAAACTATCAAGGAGAGCGTTGCAGAGCGACTGTCTACACACAGAGACTCGACTGGTGAAGCAGAAGCGGAACGCCTGTCGACTGCGACGCAGAACAACGGACCGCACCCCGAACCATGGCGACAAAAAAAACATGGCGAGTTGGAAGCGTAGCAGTGCGAGTTTGGTGCGTAGCGGTACACGTTTGCGGCGCAGCGGTGCGACTTCGACGCGAAGCAGGCGATTACTCGGGCTGCGAGGCCGTGGCCCTTCTTTCCAGCTCGGGGCCGAGTCCCCCCTCCCTCGCCTCCGCGGGCCCGCGCTGGCCCAGCCGGCCATGCGAGGCCGCGGCCTCGAGGCGGCCTGCGCCCCGCGGCGGAGAGTAGCGTCGTCCGTCCTCCCTCCCTCCCTCTCGCCTCCTCCCCCTTTCTTCCGCTATCTTTCCTCTGTCCTCCGTCCTCTGTCCTCCGTCCTCTGTCCTCCGTCCTCCGTCCTCCCCCTCCTCCTCCTCGTCCTCCTCCCCCTCCTCCTCCTCCCTCCTCCTCCGCCTCCTCCCTCCTCCTCCGCCTCCTCCTCCTCAGGACGCTTGTTGGGCGCTTTGGCCAAGGCGCAGTCCAGTGCCGAGGAGGATTAGCGCGCCCCAGGCATCATGTCGCGAGGGGCGTGCTCGCGCCGAGTGGTGCTGCTGGTGGCCTCCAGAGCAGAGGCCACAGATCTGCGTCACGGGAACAGGCCATCAGCTATGCGCTGTGCATTTTCTATCCCAGGAGCAGGGGCGGGAGGAGGTTTCTCCGAATCTCATAATAAAGGGGGGTGATCTGATTTTTGGAGGGTCTGATTTGAGCTGTTTTGGAGGGTTTCGCGGGGTCTGGGCAAAAGGCCTCCTGGCACGGCTGGTCTTGGGGGGGGGGGTCTAAAACTGCTCGTCTGGGAGGGTTGTGACCCCCTCCCTATATACGAGATGTGGAGTGCGGGAGCGGGGAGCGGGTGCGGGTGGGGAGAACCACCCTGCGCGCGCCCCGATCTCGCCAACTCGGTCTTCCAGGTGCGCTTCGCGCCATCAGGCCCGCCGCGCGGACAGCGGCCAAGAAGGCAGTCACAGGCCCAGGGTTTCGGCTTGGGTCCTTTCTTCTTCCAGGGTGCGTGCTGCTCCTCCTCCTCCTCCTCTTCCTCCTCCTCCTCCTCCTCCTCCTCCTCCTCCTCCTCCGTCCTCCTCCTCCCCTCCCGTTCTCCTCCTCCTCCTCCTCCTCCTCCTCCTCCTCCTCCTCCTCCGATCTCCTCCTCCCCTCCCGTTCTCCTCCTTCCTCCCTCCGTCCTCCTCCCAGCTCCCTCGTCCCTCCGTCCCTCTTCCTCTCCTCCGCCCTGCCGCCTGCCTCCGTCCTTCTCCCCCGCCCCCCCCGTCTGGCCAGGCACCGTCCAGGTGCTCCCGGGAACTGGGCCGGTGGCTGGCAGCGCCCTTGCGCGGAACCCGCTGGTCGAGCGCGTCGACTTCACCGGCGGCGTCGCGACAGGCCCGCCGTCGCCGCCGCCGCCGTCGCCGTCGCAGGCGCCGTCGAAGGCGCCGTCGCCGCCGCCGTCGCCGCCGCCGCCGCTGCCGTCGTCGTCGTCGTCGTCGTCGTCGTCGTCGTCGTCGGCGTCGTCGTCGTCGCCGTCGCCGTCGCCGTCGCCGTCGCCGTCGCCGTCGTCGTCAATAAGCCCGAGCAATGCTCTGCAGCGCAATCCAAAAAAACCGTCGTCGTCGTCGTCGTCGTCGTCGTCGTCGTCGTCGTCGTCGTCGTCGCTGTCGCCGTCGCCGTCGCCGTCGTCGTCGTCGTCGTCGTCGCCGTCGCCGTCGCCGTCGCCGTCGTCGACGTCGTCGTCGTCGCCGTCGTCGTCGTCGTCGTCGTCGTCGTCGTCGTCGTCGTCGTCGTCGTCCTCTTCCTCCTCCTTCTCCTCTACCTCCGCTACGTTGGTTCGTTGGCCGCGGCCACCCTGGTGCCCACGCAGTCGTCTGAGGTACGGTATCGTGCTTTCTCTCTCGGAGCTCTCCCTGGCCGTCGTTGACTTTCCGACTTATGGCGCGTCCGACGGACTTGCAGCTTTTCACGCTGGCAGTTCCCCTCAGTCTCAGTCTTTTCAGCCACCCATCTGCCGTTGGGCCGCTGCGTGAGGCTTTGGCCGGTGCGTAGCTGTTGCCTCGCGCGTTGCCCCTGCTTTAATTTTCTCGCGTTTCCTCTGCCTTGTTAGTCTCTGCGTAGCCCGCTTTGACCTGACAAGCCGCCGGCGAGCTCGCCCGCGGCCGCTGACAACCAAAAAGGAAGTATTATCACCAGCCCGTCCAGAAGCGATTCCAAGCCGAGATGTCAGGACAAGGACGTCGAGAAACGCATGGTGACACAGGGAGAAGACCTCTCGACTGCCTCTTGGAGCCATTTCGGAGCCATCTTGGGCCTCTTCTGGGACCATGGTGGGAGCCTTCCGTGCTCTCTGGGGGCTCTCTTGGGGTCCCACTTCGACAATCCTTCAGGCCATCGGCCCAACAAGAGGGTTGCTTCAATTCGTCCCGCCCCCGTCGGAGCCCGAGCAGTTGTCGTTTGGGACCTTCGGGTGATATTCTTGGGCCCCTAGTGGGAGCCTATGGGGCCAGCTTTGAGCAATTCTGGACCCCTCTGGTTCCTTCTCCTCGTCCTCCTCATTCTCATCATCCTCCTCTTTCCCCTCCCTCTATCCTCCCCTCCTTCCCTTCTCCCTCCGTTTTTCCCTCTTCCCTCCTCTTGCTGCTGCTGCTGCTGCTGCTCCTCCTCCTCCTCCTCCTCGTCTTTTCGTAATCGGGCATAAGCTGTACAGCTGTTGCGTTCTTCCTCGTTCCCGTCCTCCGCCTCCTGCTCCCTTCTCTAGTTGCTGCTCCTCCTCCTCTTCCTCCTCCCTCCCTCCCTCCCTCCCTCCCCCCCTCCTCCTCCTCCTCTCCTCCCCTCTTCCTCCTCCTGCTCCTCCTCCCCCTCCTCCTCTCCTCCTCCTCCTCCTCCTCCTCCTCCTCCCCCTCCTCCTCCCCATCCCCCTCCTCCTCCTCCTCCACCTCCTCCTCGTCGTCGTCCTCCTCCTCCTTCTCCTCCTCCTCCTCCTCCTACTCTCTCCCTCCCTCCCTGACCCATCCCGCAACTGACTGGGAAGAGCAGCAAGCCCTAGGCGACCGCATCGAAACCACTTCCCGATCGCGTATGGAACAAACAAGGATCTTGCAACCGACGTGGGTCAAGTGCTTTAGCTGGTCAACCAAGCCGCACATGTCCACGACGAGCTTAGCCACCCCATCTGACAGCCAGGGCAGGCCATACAAGAAGCCAACGAGGCACTGCACAGCACCACGTTTTCAAAACGCGTTCGTCATTCCCTTGGTGAACCCACACCACGGTGGAGCAAACACAGCGACGCCCACGCTGGACAAGTTGCGACGACAAGTTCGAGTTATCAAACGCCCCCCTGGTGAGCCACCAGGCCTGCCATGCTAGGCATTGCACCAGCCATGCCTAGGCGTGGGACATAACCAGGCACACCTTGACAGCTGCCAACCTGCTCGCCCAGCGGCGTCGGCCGACTAGCCTCACGGATTTCCCGTGCGTGTGGGGCCCAGGGGAACTGCCTACATACCTCCAGCTTGACAGCCTCATTGCTTCCACCGAAGCCGAACACCAAATGTTTAGCCAACACGAAAGACTGCCCGCATTGCTTCTTGGCGCAATCGAGTGCGAGCCAAGGATGGAGGCAGGGCCACACGCCAGTGGGTCATCATTGCTGACAACTCCAGCACCTGTTACCTGCGCCCGCCGCACAGTGGCCCTTCCCACGCGCCACCAGGCACGTGGACCTGCACTGACGGTGACGAGGGGCCAGCCGACAGGCGAAGCCCACCAAGCACGCGACCCATCAGGGTCAATTGCTCGGTCGCCAGACCCACCGATACAGCGTGACTGATCCTCTTCGGACTGCTCGGAAGCCTCGGACCACCAGGTCCTTGCCCACATGAGCAAACCGAGCAACATCTTAACAGGTATCAGAGCCATGCTGAAACTAATCACGAACGGCTGGGTACCAACAGTTGAACGATGCCGCGACGGAGGGGCCAGGACCGACAATTCAACCCCTGCGTGGGATGCTTTTAAAGAAGGAGTGCCGTCAGGAACTCCCTGACCCATTCCCGGCACAGAACTTTCTTCCCACCGACGAAGCTCAGATCCATTGCATCCGCGCCCGCCCTGCTGCCAGAGCGGGTGGCATGGGCGGCTGGGCCACAAAGGAGGCCGAGACGTTCCCATACGGGGTCTTGCCACCGTTCGCTGTGGCACTGCGGGCAATGCAGCGCTGGGAGGGTGTGCCGGAACCGCTCCTCCATATCCCGCACCCGTGTTTCCGAAAAAGAAGGAAGAGCTGCCGACGGACCAACGCCTTTTCTCCGCTATGTCCGTATGGATGTGCACATGGGAGGCGCCAGCGTGCGCGCTGGGCCCGTTCTGCCAGCTTCGAGGCGGTCCCGCGTGCCAGTCTCAGCGACGTCAGCACCACGCTCGCCATGCTGGTGTAGCATGCGCGACACCTGCGCGAACCGTTTGCGGGGGCGGCGCAGGACGCACATAAGTGTTTCGACCACCTTGTCACGGACACATGCCTCAACCTCGCTCTGCGCGCGGGGGTGTCCACCATGCGTCGTTCAAGTCACGGGGTTCCTTGCGCCGGCAGTCAGCGATGCATCCGCGTGGGGGGGAGCGTGCTCGAAATCCCTGGTGCGCGCCAGCGGTCGCCTCCAAGGCTCTCTCTCACTCGACGACGTCGAATTCCTGATGTGCGTTGGGGTGAACGGCGGCGCCGGTGCGCGCCGCGCTCCTTCAGCCCCGCGTTCTTTGACGACAACAGCTCCGCACCCCCTGTGGTTAGGCAGTAGGAAGCATCGCCCCATGAAGCCGTGCTTTATGACCACCTCTCGGGCCGACGGCATCCAGGGGACAAGTGGTGGGATGAGCCGTCGGGGGGGGGGCGCCCCGCCGCTGGGTGGCAGCCCTGAACCTCAGTGGCCAAGTCCTCAAGGCTCACCGCCAGGTGATGCTTGTGGGAAGCTGCATCAACGTTGCGCAGGCAGCGGAAGGCGCGGACCTCGATCTTCTTGCCGCCGCCGATGCCCGAGTTCGCGGCGCCGTGGCCAGGCCGCGACCCGCGTCGGGCGCCTCTCCGAAGGCACTTGAGCGAGGGCCCGCTTAGCTAGGTCCCTGGTGGCAATCGCGTGCGCTGCTGACGCTGACATCCAAGCGCCCGGCTCGAAACCGCGCAATCTCTACGACGGCGCGCTATTCGCCGCCATCTGGCCCAAGGGGCGATCATGGATTTCCGAATGGGATCTGCGTGCCCTCGTTGTCCCAGGTCATTCCTTCGAGCTTGGCGCCGTCGCGCTGCGGGGGGCGCTCGCGCCTGAGCCGATGAGATGCGGTCCGCGACCGCGCGCGAGCCTTCTAATGGGGCGGCCCCATCGACAGAGCGCAGCAAACCATCGCCATCGCCCAAGTGGAATGGCGCTGGCCAGTTTTCAGCGCGATGTGCGACGGCGGGCGCGCGCCTGTCATGACTGCGCCTGCCCACTGGGATGTTCGCGCGCGTGCTCAGAGCATCGCATAGGCGGACCTTCCCCCGACGAATCTTCACCGCCAGACGCGATCTGGGCGTCGCGTGGCTTCGATTACTTCGCCGACACTTGGCCCCGGACAACCAAGGATAAAGCCAAGTGCGCCGCGTGGACATTCGCCTTCCTGTGCAACTACTTCGCAGGGGTGGCCGCGCCGGGCAGGGGGAGGTCCGGGTGCGGATCTCGTCCGGCCCCGTCTCGCTGCGCCGTTGGTGCAGCCGAGATTAGGAGGACCGGGTGCGCGCCATCTGGAGGTGCCCGTGCTGGACTCGTGAGCGCGCAGCTTTGGCTACGATGTCCCATTGACTCAGCGGAGAGACCTCCCGCCTCGCGCGGGGCGCCGTGGGCGCCTGGGCGGGGCGCTCGAAGCCTCGACCTGCGCGCCGCCCTCGCCCGAGACGAACTCCCGGGCCGCCGCCCGCGGGCCGTGCGGAGGGCCACTTGAAAGAATGCGCCAGCCCCGCGACGGGGCCTAGATGGGCGCGTGCTGCAGCATCACGGGGCGCGCTCGCACCGGGCCGGCCACTTCTTCGCCGGGGCAGGTCTCGGCGTGCACTTCGGACAAGAACATCGGCTGAACCGTTCTGCCCGAGGGCGCGGCTGGTCGCAGTCATGCAGCGCGGCTCGCTGAGGTCCTGGCGCTGCTTCATCTCGCCGCCACGGCGGAGGGCCCCGCCCACGTTCTCGTCGATAGCCGGGCCGTCGTCGACGGGTGCGACGCTCCCTGTCGAGGGCAATCTTCCAAACCAATGGCTCACAAGGCGGCCTCTTGCTTGCGGTCCATCGTCTGGTCCGCGCCGAATCCGACATGTTCAAGGCTCAAAAAGTGTAGAGTCACCTCGGTGAGCCAGGGGCCAACGAAGGCCGCATCTCACCAACTGCCGTGGTCTGCAACCGACGAGTAAGCAGCGGTGGGGGCCCACGTGCGCTCCCGTGCCGCGGGGTATCACCGATGCGCCCAAGTGGCGAGCGTTCGCGGCTGTCCTTCGCAGTGCTGCAGTCGCGATGCATGGCCGTCGTCTCCGCGCACTTCCGCTGCCGGACAGACGAGCTGGCTGCTCCACGTCGAAATTCCGCCAGATGCAACCCAACCCGCTTTCTACAGGGGGCGGCGGGGATGAGCCGCCAGGCCCGCCTTGTGACCCGCCCTGCTCCCGGGGCCCATCGGGCCCAGGCTGCTGCGATGAACTTGGCCATCCATGGGGCATCCGCCCGGGCAACTTCGAAGGCGACGATGGGGGCCCACTCGGCCTGTGGGGGCCCTCAACGACAACGAGGGCGACGCTCCTCGCCCGCCAGACTCGCGTCAGCGACGGTGGCGACGCCGATCGCGACGGTCCATCTCCGCGTCCGAGCAGTCGCATTACAAGAGCGACCCAGGAGGTGAGGGCCCACCGCGGCCTTGTCTGAGGCGCTCCACTGCGACCCGCGCAGGATAACGCATGGGCCGACAGCGCGGGGTGCGTCGCGGTCCTCGCCGTCTCCCCCGGCGCAGGCAGACGGCCGCGCTCCAGTGCGCGCCCGCGCCGGCGACGCCATCCGCCTGGGAGAAGATCTGCGCGTGATTGGCAAGGGGTCGCGGACCGCGTCCCAGGGGCCAGCTCCGTTGCCCCAGCCCGCTGGGCTGTCCAGCGCCGTCGCGCGCCGGGCCCCCCAACGCAGTGCTTCCTGCCGCCGGGCAAATTCCCCGCTCCGCCAGGGGGCCAAGGGCCTTAGTACCACCCACCAGGGCGTGCGCCCGAGGTGCACCAGTGCAGCATGCTGATCGGAGGCGTTTGTTCACGCGCCGCCTCACTACGGCCAGGCTGCTCAGCCTCGTCAGGATCGTGAAGCCGCGCTAACCATTGGTATCACGGCGCTGCGACAGCGCGCCTTCGGCCTCGCACTCACGCTGCGTAGCACCCATGAACGGCCCAGACTTCTTCCGGGCAGGTTCCACAGAGCACCGTCCGCTTGGAACGATCTTTACAAGGCCTTCCGCATGCCTGCTTTCCCCAGGGCCAGTCTCCAGGAACATATCCAACCAAGCATGGCAACTTGCTGCTCACCGCTAGCGCGCCAGTGCTAGCCTCCTCCTTTCTTTTTCGCTGCGCTCTGAGAACACATGGAAACTCGTATTTACGGGCGGGGTCCCTTCTGGCCGCGCCAGAGGGGAGGTTGTTTCCCACCAAACGGACACTCCGCCCGAACTGTTGCGCTCTCTCCCTCCCTCCCTCCCTTCCTCTCTCCCTCCCTCCGTAATTGCATACCTTCCTGCCTCCCTCCCTCGCTCCCTCCTCAGGAGGTGGCTGCCAGTCCAAAAAAAATTGAGCAACAAGGAAAGCAAACGTCGTAGTTAAGTCGATTCCCTCTTCTTTCTCCCCTCCCTGACAGGGGTGGTGGTGGGGGGGGTCCCGGGTCAGAATGCCACCCCCTCTCCGGGTCCCGGTGCGTCCTGAGTGGGTCCGGGGGGGTCCTGGAGGGGTCCCAAGGTCCCGCCTCCAGGGTCGGCGGCACCGGCCGTAAGGCCTTCACAATGCGACGGTAGTCTTTCAGTAGGTTTCTTCGTTTTTTTGGAGGTTTTTTCAGCCTCGGGATGCTTCTCCTGCAGCTGCGCCCTGCCGAGGGCGTTCTGGGGATGCCCGGATCGCCCTGGGCGAGAACGCTGGAGGCCCGAGTGGAGGCTCGGAAGCCAGGCCTCCTGGCGTCGTGAAGACAACGCGGCGGAAGGTTTTCGGCTGTTTTCGGCTTCTGGGGGCCTTTGCCGGGCCCCGTGGCTGTCCCAGAACGGCTCGATCGGCGCGTGAGGAGCCAGTCCCCAGGACGGGGTCATGCCAGGCTTCCCGATTTGGGTCCGAGCAGGTGGGGTCGAAGGGTCGCGCCGCATCGCCGATGCATCGCCGATGCCGCTTGACGTGGGGACCGATTTTCGCCTCGCCGACGTCGGTGATGCATCGCCCACGTCGTCGATGCGTCACATATGCTTTGTGGATGCATCGGCGATGCATCGGCGGTGTGGCGTGATCCTTCGACCCCATCAGCTCGGGCACCATCTCAGTTCACGTTGCGAAAGCATCACGACGACGGACGTCTGCGGAGGCCTCAACGTCCAGCGCACGATGACCGAGGCCGGCCGCGTGCGCGCGTACTGTGCGGAGCTCGGCGGCAATGCGCCCGTGGTCGTCTTCGCCGACACGCGCTCCATCGACGAGGCCCCTGCCCTTTCTGGGCGGCCCGATCTGAGGGAAGGAGGAGGCGAAGACGGTGGATGACGATAACGAAGGGCGATTCTGATGACGATTCTGAAGATGATGATGGTGATGATGATGATGATGCTGATGATGATGATGATGACGATGATGATAATGATAATGAGCATGCTGATGATGACGGTGGTGGTGGTGATTACGATGACGATGAGGTGACAATGTCGATGTTGTTGTTGATGATCATGATGATGACGACAATGACGATGATGACGATGATGATGATGATGATGATGATGATGATGATGATGGTGATAGTGATGATGCTGATGATGCTGATGATGATGCTGATGACGATGATTATGCTGCTGATGATGTTCATGATGACGACGATGCTAATGATGTTGATGATGGTGATGATGCTGATTATAATGCTGATGCTGATGCTGATGATCATGATAATGATGATGCTGCTGATGCTGATGATCATGTTGATGACGACGATGATGATGCTGCTGCTGATGATGATGTTGATGATGATGACGGTGATGGTGGTGATTGCAATGACGATGACTGTGCTAATGTTGATGTTGATGGTGAGAATGGTAGAATGACGATGATGACGATGCTGCTGCTGCTCCTGCTGCTCATGATGATGATGATGGTGATGATGATGAGGATGAGGATGCTGATGATGACGGTGGTGGTGGTGATTACGATGACGATGACGATGACGATGACAATATCGATGTTGCAGTTGATGATCAGGATGATGACGACAGTGATGACGATGATGATGAGGATGAGGATGTTGATGATGATGGTGATAGTGATGATGCTGATGCTGCTGCTGCTGATGATGATGATGATGCTGATGACGATGGTGATGCTGCTGATGATGATCATGATGACGACGATGCTAATGATGTTGATGATGATGGTGCTGATGCTGATTATAATGCTGATGCTCGTGCTGATGATAATACTGATGATCATGCTGATGCTGCTGCTGCTGCTGATGATGCTGATGATGGTGAGGATGATGCTGCTGATGCTGATGATCATGATGATGACGACGATTGTGATGATGCTGCTGCTGATGGTGATGATGATGACGGTGATGGTGGTGATTGCAATGATGATGACGATGATGACGATGATGGCGATGAGTGATGGTGATGTTGATGATGAAAATGATAGAATGACGATGATGACGATGCTGCTGCTGATGATGATGCTGATTGGAATGATGCTGATGATGCTGCTGCTACTGATGATGCTGTTGATGATGATGCTGCTGCTGATGATTATGCGGATGATGCTGCTGCTGATGATGATCATGATGATGGCGACGATGATGATGCTGATGCTGATGATGCTACTGCTGATGATAATGATGCTGCTGCTGATGATGCTGCGGGTAATGATGATGATGCTGATGCTGCTGCTGCTGATGATGAATGTGATGCTGATGTGTCTTACGATGCTGATGATTCTGAGGCTGCTGCTGATGATGCTGATGCTGATGATGATGCTGATGATAATGATGCTGATCATGCTGTTGAGTCTGCTGATGATGATGTTGCTGATGATGACGATTGTGACGATGATGATGATGATGATGCTGATGCTGATGCTGCTTATGATGAAGGTGACGCTGCTTTCGATGACGCTGATGATGGGGATGCTGCTGATGATGCTGCTGCTGATCATGATGCTACTGCTGATGATGATGCTGATGATACTGATAATGATGCTGGTGATGCTACTGCTGATGATGATGCTGATGTTGATGTTCATTTTGATGATGATGATGATGATGATGCTGATGATGATGATGATGGGGATGGTGATGACGATAAGGATGCTGACGATGATAATGATGATGACTGGTGATGATGCTGCTGATGATGAGGATGCGGCTGATGATGATACTGATGATGTTACTGCTGATGCTGGTGACGATGCTGTTGCCGCTGATGATGTTGATGATTGTGATCATGATGATACTGATGGTGATGATGATGATGATGATGATGGTGGTGATGATGCTGATGATGATGCTGGTGATGATGATGATGATAGTGCTGATCATGATGATCATGATGATGATGATGATGATGATGATGATGATGATGATGGGGATGATGGGGATGATGATGATGATGATGATGATGATGATGATGATGATGATGATGATGATGATGATGATGATGATTGTGATGATGATGATGATGATGATGATGATGATGATGATGATGATGATGATGATGATGATGATGATGATGATGATGATGATGATGATGATGATGATGATGATGATGATGATGATGATGATGATGGCGATGACGATGGCGATGATGCTGATGATGTTGAGGATTATGATGCTAATTATGCTGCTGATGATGATGCTGATTATGATGATGGGGATGTTGATGATGATGGTCATGATGAGGATAAGCATGCTGCTGATGATGATACTGATGATAATGCTGCTGCTGAGATGCTGATAGCGCTGACGATGCTGATGATGATGGGGATGGTGATGATGATGGTGATTATGATGATGCTGATGGTGATGATGATGTGGATGCAGATACTGATGATGCTAATGATGCTGATGATGCTGATGCTGATGCTGATGCTGCCGATGATGCTGCCGATGAAGAGTAGCACTAATAATAAACATATTTTATTACTACGGCGACTACAACTACGACTACGACGACGACGACGACTACTACTACTATTGCTACTACTACCACTACTACTGCTACTACTACTACTACTACTACTACTACTACTACTACTACTACTACTAGTACTACTTTTTCTGCTACGACTACTACAACTACCACTACTACCCACTACTGCCACTATTACTACTACTTCTTCTTCTACTACTTCTACTACTACTGCTACTGCTACTACTACTACTAGTACTACTACTACCACTACTACTACTACTACTACTACTACTACTACTACTACTACTACTACTACTACTACTACTACTACTACTACGACTACTGCTGCTGCTGCTGCTACTACTACTACTACTACTACTACTACGCATACGTATATTATAACGAATAAGAATAATATCAGCATTCATACTACTAATACTTTTAAGATGAGTAATAATAAGAAGAAGCTGGGGAGGAAGAGGAGGAGGAGGAGGTGAAGGAACAGGTGCAGGGAATGAGGAGGAGGAAGAGGAGGAGGAGGAGAAGGAGAAGGAGGAGGAGGAAGAGGAGGAGGAGGAGGAGGAGGAGGAGGAGGAGGAGGAGGAGGAGGAGGAGGCTCTGCTCTGCGTCGGCTTCGCGCTGCGCGTGCTCGGTGCCGATCTGGCTGCATCTCCAAGTCAGTTGCACCACCGCCAAGAGACAGCGACAAGGTCAAAAAAGGAGAGGCGGGTAGTAATGACGCCCAAAACAGGAATCACCGACGCACTGGGACACCAGTGCGGTTTCGACAGAGCGTGCAGGAGGCGGCAGGCGCCAGAAAAGGAAGCACGCAGAGAAACAACCACAGCGAATGCTCTCGCAAATGAAGCGTGACCACGAGCCCTCCGGCTGGGGGAGGCCCAGTGGAAGCACGAAAGCAGTGCGACCGGGGGCGACCCACGAAGAGGAAGCCTGATTGATAGGCGTGTCGCGCACAAGACGCAGGAGCGCGGGCGCCAGCCAGGGGACACAGGACACTCGAACAAAAGCTCAAAGCAACTGCGGAGGGGGGGTGGCCCGCCTCGGGCGGAGCGGGAAGCCTGGGGTAAAAAGCAGGAGCAGCGGGGGCGACCCACGACGAGGAAGGAGGAACCGAGCCGCGCGAGGTCACGCGCAAGGTGCCGAAGACCCACATGAGTGAAGCCCCCGATCATGGCATCACGCAAATCCGAAAGTTGCAATGCACATGTGGGCTGCTAACACTGGACCATTAGAAACGGACGGATACACCATAGAAGGGGCGTCGACGAATCCAAGGCGAAGTCGGGGAAACAGAGGGGGCGCGGGCGGGCCTAACTAAAAGGCAGGTTTGGGCTGAGAGGTGCTGGAAACACCATGTGTGCCAGTGCGTGTTAACACAGCCACTGGCGAAACAGAGGCGAGTGCGTTGCCGAACGTTCACGGTGACACTGCCTGATTGAGAGAAAGGCTCTGGCGACATCTGACACAAGGCTGCGAACAACAGATCGCAATAGTGCAGGAGCGACTAGCGCGGGTTGGACGTCGAGGGAGGACAGCCAACAATCGACGTTTTTTGACAGACCTACATCACGCCAGAAACATAATGCAAAATAGCGCGATGACTGAGAGTCGGCTATGCGAGGGCAGGCTTGCGCAGCACAGCAGGGGAGTGAAAGGGCCTTGCTGTCAGGCTTTGGAAAGATGTCGAGGAACTCCCGGACTCTGCGAGCGAACAAAGAAAGCAGGGGATCCTTTGTGCTGGAAGAGAGTCCTCAATGCAACGAGCACGGCGTCTGAACGCTCCGAGCTGCGTTGCGCATCCTAGCATTGCGGTGGCGTCCTGCACAAGCGGCACGTTGGTGGCCGCCTCATGGGAACGCACCTGAGACAATGGAGCCACCCGCTGTTGGCGCGCGAAACGGGCCAAGACCTCTTCTTGTACGATTTGCAAGTGGGAGGCTGCACGGTGCTAAGACTCTCGCCCGAGTTCCGCTGTTCTGCAGAGCCGAGGCTTGGGAAGCGTCGTTCACGGGCATTTGGGGCGTTTCATGCTCTGGCAGCGCTCCGTATTGCACAGCGTTCTCGTATGAAGGTCCAGCCCGTTTGGCATGAGGATATGCATGGACGTCTCCGCAGCCCAGCCCCTGGTGAGCCTTCGCGTTGGCAGACTGCTCCTCGGACATCCAATGCTCTTCTAACGAGGAAGCTTCAACACGCTCCTGCGCGAAGCGTATGGGTTGCGCGTCAGCTACTAGACGGCGCAGCCTGAGTGTCTAGCTGCTCTCGCTGCCATCTGTGCCACCCTCGGGGGCGCGAGTATCGGCGCTGTTCGGAGACCTCGGGGATCGGGAGCGCGATTGGGGGCGGCCAATCAGGACTGGGGCAATGAGACGCCGAACAATGGTGATGGCGAAGCGTATCGTCAAAGGTAGCTTTCCTGCTGTCCGAACTGCCTGCCGATGGGGCGTTCAGAGCACGGCGCCGGATATCCACATCTCCAGGGTGGCGGGGGTTAGTTGGCAGTAACGATGGGGGGCGCCCTCCTTGAGGCAGGCGAGGGGGGGCGTCTCTTTCAACGTAGCTCTGATTCTCGCTGGCAGCAGTTCGTGTCTCTTTGCTCTGGAAGCTTTGGCCGTGCAGCCCTCGGAGTCGGCGATGAAGCAGCACGTCCGTCACTGGGGCCGTATACGTGCTTGCATCAAGCGGAAGAGGTGGAATCACTAGCGGAAGGGGTCGAAGTTGTTGTCTCCCTGCGTGTCGTCCTTCAGCTGGGCGCGCGGCCGTGGGCGGTGCGGGCGGGCGGCGGGTGCCGCGGCGGGGCTCCAGGCGGCGCGGCCCCCTGCCGCCCACCCGGGGGCGGCGGCGGCGCAGGCCACAGAGGCGGCGCAGGCCAGCGCCCTGCTCCATTGGCAACCCACGTCGCCATGGCGGAGGAGGCAAGGAATAGCCTCCGCCTCGCGCGCCGTCCATGGAGACGCGGTCACTCGCCCTCGCGAGTGGCGTTCTGGGCCTGAGGCGTGGGTGCATCGGAGGATCCACGGGCGGTTTCGGAAGGTTGTTGCGTCGTCGGCTCGCGAGATCCCGAGCGTGAGGCCCCGTTGGAGGAAGCCGCGCGCGTTTCTCCGCGCCGAATCGGCGTGCGACAGGGCGCGCGAGGCAGTGGCGTCCTACGAGGAGGGCGAGGTGTGCCTGCCCGAGAGCGTCTGCGACGCGAGGTGCGCGGATCCGATCGGCGGGGTGCGCTCCCGCATTTTGCTCGAGGTTTTCGTCGCGCGGTATCGGAGGAGTGCCAAGGAGGTAGATGGGCTGGACCAGACTTCTGGGGATGTTAAGCCGCGCGTGGGCGGCCGGCTGGAGTCGAGCCCTCGGCTCTACCAGCGTCTCGTGCGCCATCTCGACCAGAAGGGACTGCTTGGTTCGACCGGGTCCCCGAAATTCTTCATCTCGATGTTCACCGTGAAGAAGAGCGGGGCGCTGCCGCTGATCTCATTTGGCTTCTTTGGGCCCAAGTCGGGGGAATTCTGCGCGATCTCGGATGCACCGAAGAGCTCGATACTATGGGTTCTGGCTTGTGACATCTTTCGCTTCTGATCGCCGAAGTGGTCCAGGGACTCGCGCCGCAGTCTAGACAGCGTCGCTATCATATTTGACAGGCGACCCACCCATAATGATATGCCCAGCCATGTATGTGCTTGCACGCATCTGAATGGGTCTGATGTCGACATGCTGCCACATGTATTTTATTGGTTCTATAACTGTTGATACTCAGTGTTCTGTTCTCGTGTCCCAACGCCATTCCCTTAAACAGTAATGCCCCACTCCTTGTTTTCGGCGTCCCAAGTGTTCCAAGACGGGTCCTAGTCTGTAGAAGCTTTCATTCTTGGGCGCCGAAGTGGCCCAGGGGTTTTTGCCGCATTCTAGACAGCGTCGCAAACATATTAGGCAGATTCCTCACCCAGAAGCATGCCCAGTAATGGTACTGCTGATGATGATGCTAATGCTGCTGATGCTGCTGATGATGATGGTGCTGCTGCGGGTGATTATGATGATGATGCTGATGCCGATGATGAAGCTCTGCTGATGATGCTGACGATGATGCTATGATGATGAGGAGGATGCTGATGCTGATGCTGCTGCTGATAATGGTGATGATGCTGATGGCGATGATGATGATGTTGATGCTGCTGCTGCTGCTTATGATGCTGATACTGATGATGATGCCGATGATGATGATGACGATGATGATGATGATGCTATGATGATCAGGATGCTGATGCTGATGCTGCTGCTGATGATGATTATGATGACGATGATGATATTGCTGCTGCTGATGATGCTGATACTGATGATGATGACGATGACGATGACGATGATGATGATGATGATGATGATGATGATGATGATGATGATGATGATGATGATGATGATGACGATGATGATGATGCTGATGATGATGATGATGATGATGATGATGATGATGATGATGATGATGCTCATGATGATTATGATGATGATGCTGCTGATGACGGTTTTGGTGAGGATAATGTGGAAGTGCCTGCGCGCAGAAATTTGACGATGGGGGGGATGATGCCTAGAGGCCCGAACAACATGGAAAAGCGCTAGGAAGGGCCGCCGTTGCTAGGGAGTTTATATTCAGCATCGGCGCTGGTACATCCGTAGCCTAAACCGTACTAGTTGATCTCGCCAAGTTTGGTTGAATCCCGCTTGATCCCGGTTAATCCCAGGCTTACACTCTGGTTTCATCTGGCTTAATGTCCCCCAGTCGGGCTTACTAGTTCCTTATTGTCCGTGCGAATGCCTCCCATGCGTTCCCTCTTAATCTTTTGCCTGGGGCCAGGCCACCTTTGGCGTGCACGCAGATGCTGGGAAGCATCCCGAGACCGGAAAACCGCCGAGAACCGACGACCTCGCCCGACAACCTCGAGCCTCGAGCCACTCGTGTGGCCGCCAGGCGCTGGAATCCCCGACCACTTCCCCAGGGATAGGTCTCCGCCCCAGATCATTTTGGTGCACCTGGAGGCCCGAGAATGGCCCCCACACGCCGGAGTGGAGGAAGAACCGCCCGTGCCCGAGGACATCCAATCTCCAGAGGTCTGGGGGCCACGTTCGGCTTCTCTCTGGACCTCTCCCGGAGTGCGCTCTGACCAGGATCTCGAGGAGAATCCAGCCGTGGCAACGAGGGCCGTCCAGGACGAGCAGCGGTGTCGGTACCCTTCACTCCTCGGAACTCTTGCCGGGGGCCACTCTTGGCGTGCGGCCGCCCCGCCCTTGCCTGGGGCAAACACGAAAACGAGTTCGTGATCTTCACGTGGAGGTGAGAGTTCCCCTGTGCTGAATTTGCGCCGGGTCCTTTTCCGAAGGGCCACCGTGCTCGTGCACGCCTCTCGCCCATCTTTGGGTCGCTCCCTGCCGCGGCGACAGCTCGTTCGTTCGTTTGCTCGTTCGCCAGGCCGTGAACGGGGTGTGCTTCGCCGCGTTCGTGGCCTCGGGGCAGACGTGCGTCAGCGGCAAGCGGGTGCTGGTGCAGCGGGAGATCTTCGCGGAGGAGCGGCCGCCTCTCCGCGCCCTTCGGGCAGGTTTTCGGAGTTCCCCTGTTGCTTGTCGGAGCTCACCGTTCATTTTTAGCCGATGTGCGTAAGCTGCTCGCCATCATATTTTACAGCAACACTCAGATTCATATGTACGTACGCATATATCTAGTGGCCTTCCGTCCATCGAGCCACCGTGCCTGGCTTGTGGCTATGAAGCCTATTGGATGTTCGTTGGGATCTCGTGGGAGGCCTCTCGGGTGCCTCTTGGAGGCAGTTTGGAGGCCTCTTAGGAGCCGTTTCGGGGCTTCTTGGGGCCTCGTTTGGGCCTCTTGGGGGCCTCCTGGGGCCTCTTGGGGGCCTGTTGGGGGCCTCTTGGGCCCTCCTGGGTGCCTCTTCGGGGCTCCTGGGGTCCTCTTGGGGCGGAAGGTTCGGATTTTCGGTTCGTCTTCCTTCTTATATGCCCCCTTCGGGGCCGTCTTGGGGCCCTGTTGTGTCGTCTCCGGGCGCCTCTTGGGCCGTCTTGGGGCGCTCTTAGGTCGTCTGGGGGCTCTCTTGGAGGCCTCTTGGGCTGTCATGGAATGGTCTTGGGGGCCTCTCGGGCCGTCTTGGAGCGTCGGGAAGCCGGAAAGGCGAGAACGCCCAAATCCTTGAAAACTTTAGGAAGATCAATGTTTTTTGGGGGCCCTCTTGGGGGGCCTCCTGGAGGCCTCTTGGGGCGTCTTGGAGGCCTCTTGTGTCATCTTGCGGCCCTGTTCTGCGAATTGATTCGGTCTTTCGGCGACTCGGGGCCCTCTTGTACCGTCACGGGGTCCCCGTGGGACCCTCTTGACCCGTCTTGGGGCCTTCTTGGGTCCTAAAAGGCCATGCGTGAAGCCGCGGGGAAGCCCAGAGGGCACGCGACAAGCCCCGCCAACTTTGGCAAGTGGGGTCCAGACCCCTGAGAAGCTCTTCAGGACTGAGGGCTCAGGCTCAGAGGATGAGGCAAAGGACTTGCGGACGCGCCCACTCCGTGCCCAGAGGCCCAGCGCGCTGCCCGCTCCTAGTCCGTATTCCGTGACATGCTCATGCACGACGTGCGTGTTGAATATTCATTTATAGAGAATGATGATTGTGTTCTCCGGGAACGGTTCCGCGCGCTCTCGCCTTGACGCCGGCTGCAGTTTCTCTGAAAACGAGGCTCCCGCGCGAGCGTTGGCTTGAGTGTAAAAGTGTGCCCTTGGAGGCCCGGCTACAACGACAACGGCTCCCGTTCGATGCGTCCTCACAGTTTACTCCGAGACGGCCAGAGAGGCCCCCGAACTCAGGAACGGCGCTCTCGCTCGAGAATTCCTCGCAATTCAGTCAAGTTGGCAGAGGCCCAGCCACGACTTCAAGGGCTCCCGCTCGATACTTCTTCACGATTTACTCCGAGAGCCCCTGGCCAGGAAGGCCCCCGAACTCAGGAACGGTGCTCTCGCTCGAGACTTTCTTGTGATTTAGACAAATTGGTGGAGGCCCAACTGCGACGACAAGGGCTCTCGTTCGATACTTCCTCAATGTATTCGCAGAGGCCCTTGCCAGAGAGGCCCCCGAACTCAAGAGTCGCGCGCTCGCTCGATTTTTTTCGTAATTCAGGCAAGTTGGTGGAGGCCCACGCACGGCGACAAGGGTTCCCGTTCGATATTTCTCAATCTGTATTGCGAAAACCCCTGCCCTGGCCAGAGAGGCCCCCGAACTCAGGAACGGCGCTCTCGCTCGAGAGTTCCTCGCACTTCAGTCAGTGGCCAACCAGGAAGATATTCCCCCCGAAAGGGGGCGCAAGTGGGCGGGTATCGAGGGTTGTCGTATACAGAATGCAAGACACGCGTGCTTGTAAGAACGAGCAGTCTTACAATCATCATTGTTGTTGTTATTGTTGTTGTTGTTGTTGTTGTTGTTGTTGTGGTTGTGGTTGTGTTTGTGGTTGTTGTTGTTGTTGTTGTTGTTGTTGTTGTTGTTGTGATTGTTGTTGTTGTTGTTGTTGTTGTTGTTGTTGTTGTTGTTGTTGTTGTTGTTGTTGTTGTTGTTGTTATTGTTGAACATTATTAATTCTAAAGAATAATTATTGTTGGGGCCCCTGGTGCACGGCCCCCCTGCGCCGCCTAGGCCGCAGCTACATTTTCATCATTTTCGTGAGGAAGCCTCAGGTAATTCGATGTGATCAAGATCCGGTTGTTTTGTTCCCCCCCGCTTTCCCTTGCAAAAAACACTATAAAATGACATTTCTTGTTCAAATGTAATCAAATTTCAAGAATCCCTTGCAAAAAATAAGGTAAAGTGGACATTCGCGCGCGCAAGACGAAATCCTTCCAAAAGCTTAGTGTTCGGAGCGATTTTAACATAAAAACATCAAAAAACCAATGGTTTTTCAACAAAAAAATGTCAAAATCTCATCCCGCGCGCTCTTGCGGATTCGTAGGAAACCCAACACTTTTTAAACATTTCTGTCAAACGGGCTTTTGCGAGCAACTTTTTCGAACTTCTGCGACAACGGTTGCGCACCTGCCAGGGCCATCATCCCTGTCAAATAATACCATGCGGGACACATTCGTCTCTCTGTATTATGTATTGTATGGCACAATTGCACCATGCTGGGCACATGCGCGCCCCGAATAAGTGACCAAGTTCTGTGGGTGTGTACCCCACGCCAGTGTAGTAGCCACGGTCGTCCGCACGCCACGAAGTGAAGTGTCCCAACGTCATAGGGCGGGAAGCTGGGTTTGGGTGGTCGCGAAGAGTCGTTTGGATATTTGGTAGAGCTTGTAATGCCCCCCCACGAAGTGGGGGTATTGCCTGGTGTCGTATGAAAACCCTGGCACTGGGGAGAACACCGCGCGTTCGGGTAAAATGATTGTTGTTGTTGTTGTTGTTGTTGTTGTTGTTGTCGTCGTCGTTTTTGTTGGATCCTCATTTCTAAAGAATACTTGTTGTTGATCCCCCCTGCCCGGTAACCATTGTATTTTTACTTAGCACCCCGCAATGGCGGATAAGAGTGAGGGGGCGGGCGCGGGCGACGCGGGCGTCGAGCCAGCGGACCTCGTGGCCCTCACCTGCCCTGTCGATGGCGCCCTCCTCCTCCTCTTCCTCCTCCTGTTCCTCCTCCTCCTCTTCCTCGTCCGCGTCCTCGTCCTCATCTTCGTCGTCGTCGTCGTCCGCCTCCTCCGTTCTTGGCTTGTTCAGTGAACGTAGTTTGGGTCGCGGGTGGGTCGCGGCTCTCCACCTCCACCTGGAAGGAATTCAAAAACAGCGCGCCGCAGGCGCCGAACATGTGGATTTGTACACTGAACGCGGTTTGGGTCGCGGGTGGGTCGCAGGTTCTCCACTTGGAACGAATGCAAAAGAAGCCCGCCGCAGGCCGGCTGGGTGGGTCGCGGGGTGGGCGGGTGGGTCGCGGGTGGGTCGCGGGTGGTCGCGGGATGGGTCGCGGGTGGGTCGCGGGTGGGTCGCGGTGGGTCGCGGGTGGGTCGCCGGGGAGGTCTCGGGGTGGGTCGCGGGCGGGTCGCGGGGTGGGTCGCGGGTGGGTCGCGGGTGGGTCGCGGGTGGGTCGCGGGGTGGGTCGCGGGTGGGTCGCGGGGTGGGTCGCGGGTGGGTCGCGGGTGGGTCGCGGGGCGGGTCGCGGGTGGGTCGCGGGTGGGTCGCGGGGCGGGTCGCGGGTGGGACGACGACAGCAACAAACAACAAACAACAGACAACAAAGAACAAACAACAACACCAACAACAACACCAACAACAACAACAACAACAACAATGCCAACAACAACACTAACAACAACAATAACAACAACGAGAATCCGCCTCGCGGAATTCCACTTCAGCCACGCGCCCAGGGACAGTGAATCCCACTTCAGTCACTCACTCTGATAAGTAAAGTGCTTCTCCCGGGGCTCGCAGCCTGTTCTTTACAAGGGAAAGTGAGGTGTCACCAAAGTGGGCCCTGGCCCCCGAGTTACAACAACAACGGCTCCCGTCTGCTACTTGATCAGAATTTATTCCCAAATCGCGCTCTCGCGCGGGACTTCCTCACACTGTATACCGGAATCGCGCTCTTGCGTGAGATTCTCGCAATTTATTCCGACGCCGCGCGTTCGATACTCAGGAATCATGCTTTCGCTGTGGATTCCTCACGTTTTACTTGGGAATCGCGCTGTCGCTCGAGTCTTCCTCGCGATTCATGCAGGACTGATTCATGCCTCAGCATCCCGCCTGCTCGACCTGGCCGCTTGGGCCCGCCTTCCCGACCCGCCCGTTAGGGTCTATCCGCCCGATCTGCCCGTCTGGTTCTGCCACTTGTTTTCTGCTCCTAGCCTCCCTCCTGCTACTTCCTCTTTTGCTCCATTCTCCTCCCTCCCCTTGTTCCCATCCTTCCATCTGTCCTCTATTCACCTGCCTTAGGGACTGCACGAGGTACACTTTGCAGGCAAGAAAGATATACCCCCATGTGGGGTACGATCGAAGACGAAGAGGGCGGGTATCGAGGATTCGGGATATACGTATTGAGTGGCACGCTAGTAGATACGAGCGAAAAGTCTCAAACTGTTTGTCGTCGTCGTCGTTGTTGTTGTCGTTGTTGTCGTTGTCGTTGTCGTTGTCGTTGTCATTGTCGTTGTTGTTGTTGTTGTTGTTGTTGTTGTTGTTGTTGTTGTTGTTGTTGTCGTCGTCGTCGTCGTCGTCGTCGTCGTCGTCGTCGTCGTCGTCGTCGTCGTCGTCGTTGTTTGTCGTTTAATGTTGTATTTGTTGTTGTTGTTGTTGTTGTTGTTGTTGGTGTTGGTGTTGGTGTTGGTGTTGAACACTCACTACTGAAGCATAAGTATTGTTGATCCCCTCCGGTAACATATGTGTTTTTTTCAATTGAAGGGCCCCTTCCGGGGCTCGCACCCTGTTTTCTATCAGGGAACGTCTTCCTCCTCAAACTGCGTTGTTGGCCCCCGAACTACAACAACGGTTCCCGCCTGATACTTCCTCACAACATATTCCCAACTCGCGCTCTCGCGCGGGACTCCCTCACAAATTATGCAGGAGTCGCGCTCTCGAGTAGGACGTCCTCGCAATTTATTCAAACGCCGCGCCCTCGACATTCAGGAGTCACGCTCTCGCTGTGGGTTTCTTCACGATTGATTTGGGAATCGAGCTGCCGCTCGAGACTTCCTCGCGATTCATGCAGGACGCACGCTTCGGCAATCCGCCTGCTCGACCTGGCCGCCTGGGCCCGCCTTCCCGACCCGCCTGGTAGGGTCCACCCGCCCAATCTGTCCGTCTGGTTCTGCCACGGGTTGCCTGCTCCTAGCCCCCCTCCTCCTAGTCTCTCTCGTGCTCCATCCTCCTCCCTCCCCCTTGTCCTTTCCTTCCATCCGTCCTCTCTTCCCCTGCCTGAGGGGCTGCACGAAATACACGTTACAGATATGAAAGATACACCCCAAATGGGGTGAGATCGAGGACGCAAAGGGCGGGTATCGAGGGTCCGGGATATACGTGTTGAATGGTACGCGAGCAGATAAGAGCGAACCGTCTTAAAATAATTGTTGTTGTTAATGTTGTTGTTGAAATCTCACTTCCAAAAAATAATTGTTGTTGACCCCCCCCCCTCCGGTGACCACTGCATTTTTCAATCCAAGTGCTCCTCCAGGGGTTCGCGCTCTATTTTTTTAACACGGGAACTGTGTCACCAAATTGGGCCCCTGGCCCCCGAGATACAACAACAACTGCTCTCGCTTGATAGTTCCCCACAACGTGTTGAGAGATCGCGCTCTCGCGTGAGATTTCTTCGCAATTTATTCAGGCGCCGCGCCCTCGACGCTTAAGAATCACGCTCTCGCTTTGGCCTTTCGAACGATTTACTTGGGAATCGCGCTGTCGCGCGAGATTTCCTCGCGATTCATGCAGGACTCACGCTGCAGCAACCCGTCTGCTCGACCTGGTCGCTTGGGCCCGCCTCCCCGACCCGCCCGCTAGGGTCTACCCGCCCGATCTGCGCGTCTTGTTCTGCCACGTGTTTTCTGCTCCTAGCCCCCCTCCTGCTACTCCTTCCCTTGCTCCATTCTCCTCCCTTCCCCTTGTCCATTCCTTCCATCCGTCCTTTCTTCCCCCGCCTCAGGGTCTGCACGACATACACGTTGCAGGTAAGAACGATATACAAGGGGTACGGTCGAAAACGAAGAGGACGGATATCTGGGTTGTGGGATACGCGTGTTGAACAGCCTGCGAGCAGATAAGAGCGAACAGCCTTAATCTGATTGCTGTGGTGGTGGTGGTTGCTGTCGTTGTTGCTGCTTTTGAGCTTTCATATCGCAAGAACAATTATTGTTGATTCCCCCTCCGGGGCACATTGTGTTTTTCAATCCAAGTGCTCTTCCCCGGGCTCGCACCCTGTTCATCCGGGGAAGGCTTGGGTCTCAGAATTGTGCTGTTGGTTCCCGAACTATAGCAATTCCGGCTCCCGCCTAATACTTGATCACAATGTATTCCCGAATCGCGCTCTCGCGCGGGAGTTCCTCACAATGTATACCAGAATCGCGCTCTCGTGTGAGATTTTCTTCGTAATGTATTCCGACGCCGCGCCCTCGACATTCAGGAGTCACGCTCTCGCTGTTGATTTCTTCACGATTGATTTGGGAATCGAGCTGTCGCTCGAGACCTCCTCGCGATTCATGCAGGACGCACGCTTCAGCAACCCGCCTGCTCGACCTGGCCGCCTGGGCCCGCCTGCCGACCCGCCTGGTAGGGTCCACCCGCCCAATTTGCCCGTCTGGTTCTGCCACGGGTTGCCTGCTCCTAGCCCCCCTCCTCCTAGTCTCTCTCGTGCTCCATCCTCCTCCCTCCCCCTTGTCCTTTCCTTCCATCCGTCCTCTCTTCCCCTGCCTGAGGGGCTGCACGAAATACACGTTGCAGATATGAATGGTATACCCCCAAGGGGGTACGATCGAAGACGAAGAGGGCTGGTATCGAGGGTTTGGGATGTACGTGTGGAAAGGCACGCGAGCAGATAAGAGCGAACAGTCTTAAATTGATTGATTGATTGATTGATCGATTGTTGTTGTTGTTGTTGTTGTTGTTATTGTTGTTGTTGAACCTTCACTTCTAAATACTAACAGTTGTTTCAATTACAGTGGTCCTCCCGTGGCTCGCACCCGTTTTTTGATTGCTCTGGCCTTCGGCCAGTGCCGTCGATCCGGGCTGCTCTGGATAATTATGCTGATGCCGATGCTGATGCTGATGCTGCTGATGCTGATACTGATGCTGATGAAGATGATGCTGCTGATGATGATGATGATGATGGTGGTGCTGATGCTGTTGATGATGATGATGCTGATGATGATGCTGATGTTGTTGTTGTTGTGGTTGTGGTTGTTGTTGTTGTTGTTGTTGTTGTTGTTGTTGTTGTTGTTGTTGTTGTTGTTGTTGTTGTTGTTGTTGTTGTTTTGATGATGATGATGATGATGATGATGATGATGATGATGATCATGATGATGATGATGATGCTGATGATGATGCTGATGATGATGATGATGATGATGATGATGATGATGATGATCATGATCATGATGATGATGATGATGATGATGATGATGATGATGATGATGATGATGATCATGATCATGATGATGTTTATCATGGTGATGGTCATGGGGGCCATCTTATGCGTCTTGGACCGATTGTTCGGTGTTTCGGGGCTTTCTTGGGCCGTCTTGATGGCCTCTTGGGGCCCTGTTGGCCCGTCTTGGGCCTTTCTGGGCTCGAAGAAGGCGTGCGGGAACATTCTGGGGGCCCCAGAGGGCGCGCGGGGAGCCTCAAGACGTTTGAGAGCTCGGGGTCCAGGCCCATTAAGAATCCTCAGGCTTGAGGACTGAGGCTCAGGGAATTGAGCAAGGGACCTTGGGAAGCCTCTTGGGGGTCGCTTTGGGGCCTCTTGGGGCTTCTTTTGGGTCTCTGGGGGGCCTTGTGGGGCCTCCTGGGGGCCGCTTGGGGTGGGGGCCCGTGGGCCCCCCCCGCCACCGAGCACTAAATGCGTCGGGAATGGCGCCCCCCCCCTTGCCCCTTGCAGAGCGAAGCTTGAGCGAGCTCAAGTCCATGCTCTCAGAAGCTCACACGCGGGATCGGTTGATTTTTTTCCAAGGGAAAGCGAGGTGCCACCAAACTGGGTTGTTGGGCCCCGAAAGACAATAACAACGGCTCCAGTCGGAGACGCATAGGAATCGCGCTTTCGCTTTGGCCTTTCGCACGATTTACTTGAGAATTGCGCTATCGCTCAAGCTCTCCTCGCGATTCGTGCAGTATTCACGGTTCAGCAGCCCGCCTGCTCGACCTGGCCGCTTGGGCCCGCCTTCCCGAGACGCCCGTTAGGGTCTACCCGCCCGATTTGCCCGTCTGTCTTTGCCACCTGTTTTCTCTGCTCCTAGCCCTCGTCCTGCCAATCCACCATCCTTCTCCCTCCCCCTTCCATCCGTCCTCTCATCTCCTGTTTCAGGGGCTGCACCAATGGCACGTGGCAGGTAAGGAAGATACACTCCCAGGGTGGCTCGATCGAAGACGAAGAGGGCGGGTACCGAGGGTATGGGATGTGCGCATTGAATGGCACGCGAGCAGGTAAGAGCAAACAGTCTTGAAATGCTTGTTGTTGTGATTGTGGTTGTCGTCGTTGTTATTGTTGTCATTGTTGTCGTCGTTGTTGTTGCTGCTGCTGCTGCTGTTGTTGTTGTTGTTGTTGTTGTTGTTGCCAGTGGTGGTGATGATGATGATGATGACGACGAGGACGACGATGATGAGGAGAATGAGGAGCAGGAGGAGGAGGAGGAGGAGGATGAGGAGAAGGAGGCGGAGGGGGGAGGGCTGAGAAGAGTGTGGGTGATTGGGTGTGGAGGGGTGGGACGGAGGAAGGGAGGGAGGGAGAGAGAAAGGGAAGAGGGAGGGAGCAGGACGAGGAGGCGGAGGAGGAAGAGGACGCTGAGGCGCAGGCGGAGGCGGCGGCCGCGGCGGCGGCGGCGGCGGAGGAGGAGGAGGAGAAGGAGGAGGAGGAGGAGGAGGAGGAGGAGCTGCTCCCGTTGCTTCTGCGCCCCGAAGTTCCGGGAGAAGCTCGCGGCCAAGGTCTCCGCGCTGCAGCTTGGGGACCCGATGCTGCCGGAGACTGACCTGGGCCCGGTCATCACCGAGGCGCAGCTAAAGAGAATAGAGGATCAGGCCTCGGGCGCTGCGGAATGGGCAGGGGCGGGGGAGGGGCAGGGGGGTGGAAGCAGCAGGGGCGGAGAAGGCCTGGGTGACAGGGGCAGAGGTACAAGGGGGGGGGAGGAGCTGGGGGCGGAGGATGCTTGGATCGAGGACCAAACAATGGCATACACATAAACTTTGGGAGGTCCGCGCTGATTGCTTAGATCCGCTGAACCCCCTCGCTGGCGCGCGGAGTGCGCCAGGGGCGCCGCTGGAGGCGCCGCCAGAGGGTCTAGCACAGATCCAAGAAATCCGCGCGGACAGTCGACAGTTTCTGTTTATGTAGTTTTTTCTTTCCCCACTGGAGGGCTCTAGAGAGCCCCACGGGGGTTTCCCCTCCAGTCGCTTCTCGTGCTCCTGCTCCCGCTCCGTCCGCTCCACCCTGAATTCCCTACCCCTTGCCAGTGGAGGAGGAGGAGGTGGAGAATGATGATGACGATTGTATTGGCATTGCTTTGAAATGCTTGGCGTTGCTCGGCATCGCTTGGTATTGCCTTGCTATGCAGGGGAACCCGAGGAACAAGACTGGGGAGCCCGAGGAACCAAAGCCAGGAAGGACACCAGGGATCCCGGGGAACCCGAGGAACCCAAGCGAGGAACAGGACCGTGGAACGGGAGGAACCTATGCCAGGAACAAGACTGGGGCTCCCGAGGAACCAGGCCGATGAACCCGAAGAACGAAAGCGAGGAACAGGACCTGAGAAGCCGAGCCCCCTGCAAGGAAACAGGACGAGGGACCTCCCGAGGAACCCCTGTTGTGAGGCCGCAAGGCCAGGGACACCGAAGGAACGCGAGGGCCAGCCGCACCCGGCACCCAGCCTGCACAAAGAGGAAAGGAGCCTTCAGGCAGAGCCCAATCGGGGAACGAGGCAGGAGCTCCCAGGCTGTCTTCCTCGAGACCCCGGCCGAAGCCGCCCCGAGAACCCTTCTGGATCTCCCTGGGCCCGAAGGCCTGCCCTCTCCTGCTCGCTCCTCCCCTTCCGCTCCCGCTCTTCGGGGACCGTCGGGAGCCCTCGAAAGCACCCCTTCCTCGCGAGCCGCTGAAGGGGAGGGTGACGACGACAAGGGCGAGGACTCCAAGCAGGGATTCTACGCTCGGCCGCCACGCGGTGCAGCTGCCGCTGGCAAAAGAGGCAGGGAGAGAGAGAGAGGGAGAGAGAGAGAGAGAGAGAGAGAGAGAGGGAGAGAGCGAGAGAAGAAGAGATGAAGGGGGACAGGAAGGAAGACCCGGAACATGTCACTGAAGGCCCGAAGACCCCCCAAGACCTTCGACCGCCTTCTCCGCCTTCCCTGCTCTGCTGCCGCCTCCGTCGCTGCCGCCGCGTCTTCCCGCGAGGGCGCCCACCACCACGCCTGACGGCGGACGACGGGCGATCGACGTTGGCCGACCCGCCGAGAAGCAAAATTGTGGAGACCCGGGGTTGCTTCTTGAAGTTGCTTCTTGAAGGCTGCTTTAGATTTAGGCTTTCGACAATTCGTGGGAGCTGCAGTCTCTGCCCCCTGGAATTAACGATTCCGCGCCTTCTTAGCTGAGCCTGAGAGTCGTAGCTCCTCCCCCGACGTCATGATTTTCCCAACGCCGACCCCCAGAGGTCTCGACCTACGGTAGGTTCGTGCGGCGGTGGCGCGCCGGCGACGCTGGCGAAGGCGTTCAAGGTTGAAGTCCGCATGATAGAATGACGTGGAAGCACCGAGGGACAGGGTAACGCCACTGGACCCGATCGAATTTAACCTTGAACGGTCGGGGCCGCGATCGATTCAAGGTTGAACGATCGACGCGGTGTCAGAAATCCTTGCTCGCGCCGACGCCGCACGAACCTACAGTATTTCCCTTGACTGGCTTTTCATCCTGAATCGTTTGCTGACCCTCCCAGGGCCCAGCGAGGGCCTGCGGAGGCCGAACGCTTTTACAACATCTGGCAATATGAAGGGGTTGTTGTTGCTGTTGCTGTTGTTATTGTTGTTGCTGCTGATGCTGTTGTTGTGGTTGTGGTTGTTGTGGTGTTTGTGGTTGTTGTTGTGGTTGTGGTGGTGGTTATTCTTCTTGTTGGTGTTGGTTGTGGTTGTTGTTGTTGTTGTTGTTTTTGTTGTTGGTGTTGTTGTTGTTGTTGTTGTTGTTGTTGTTGTCGTCGTTGTTGTTTATGTTGTCGTTGTTGTTGCTGCTGTTGTCGCCAATGGTGCTGTGACTGTTGTTGTTGTGGTGGTGGTTGCTGTTGTTGCTTTTGTGGTTGTGGTGGTTGTTGTTGTTGCTGCTGCTACTGTTGTGGTAGTTGTCGTTGTTGCTGCTGCTGTTGTGGTTGCGGTTGTTGTTGTGGTTGTTGCTACTGCTGCTGCTGTTATGGTTGTTGTTGTTGTTGTTGTTGTTGCTGTTGTTTTGCTGTTGTTTTGTTGTTGATGTTGTAGTCGCCGTCGTCGTCGTCGTCGTCGTCGTCGTTGTTGTTGTTGTTGTTGTTGGTGTTGTTGTTGTTGTTGTTGTTGTTGTTGTTGTTGTTGTTGTTGGATGTGAGGTTGCTGTTGCTGTTGCTAATGCTGCGGCTGCTGCTGCTGCTGCTGCTGCTGCTGCTGTTGTTGTTGTTGTTGTTGTTGAACATTATTACTTCTAAAGAATAATTATTGTTGGGACCCCTGGTGCGCGACCCCCCTCCAAAACCTAGGCCGCAGCTACATTTTCATCATTTTTTAGCGAAAGCTTCAGAAAAGTGAATTATTACCGGATCCGGTTGTTTTGTTGTACTCCGTTTTCCCTTGCAAAAAACACTATAAAATGAAAATTCTTGTTCTTACTTGATCAAATTGCAAGAATCCCTTGCAAAAAATAAGGTAAAGTGGACATTCGTGCGCGCAAGACGAAATCCTTCCAAAACCTTAGGTTTCGTAGCGATTTTAACATAAAAACATCAAAAACCCAATGGTTTTTTAAGAAAAAATTGTCAAAATGTTCTTCCGCGCGCTCTTGCGGATTCGTAGGAAAACCAACACTTTTTAAACATTTCTGTCAAACGGGCTTTTGCGAGCAACTTTTTCGAACTTCTGCGACAACGGTTGCGCACCTGCCAGGGCCATCATCCCTGTCAAATAATACCATGCGGGACACATTCGTTTTTTCTTCGCGCGCGCACGCCGAAATCTCCAAAAACCATTGGGTTCTTAAGAATTTTACCACCGCGCATCATAAAATCACACGAATCGCACCGTAGGTCCTCGAAAAACACCTGCACGACTTTTCAAAATTTCCACCCGCGCGCGCTGTCCGTTTCCAAAAAAAAACAATGGTTTCCCAACATTTATGTTACATGAGCTCGCGCGAGCTACTACGAGTGACCAAGTTCTGTGGGTGTGTACCCCGCGCCAGTGTAGTAGCCACGGTCGTCCGCACGCCACGAAGTGAAGTGTCCCAACGTCATAGGGCGGGAAGCTGGGTTTGGGTGGTCGCGAAGAGTCGTTTGGATATTTGGTAGAGCTTGTAATGCCCCCCCACGAAGTGGGGGTATTGCCTGGTGTCGTATGAAAACCCTGGCACTGGGGAGAACACCACGCGTTCGGGTAAAATGATTGTTGTTGTTGTTGTTGTTGTTGTTGTTGTTGTTGTTGTTGTTGTTGACTTCTCCTTTCTGAAGAATAAGTATGGTTGATCTCCCCCGTCCAGTGCACATTCTTTTTTTCGATCGAAGTGCCCTCCCTGGGGCTCGCTCCTTGTTTTTGTAAGGGAAAGTCTTGAGGGTCAAACTGCGTCGTTGGCCCCCCAGTTTGCAACAGCAGCGGCTCCCGCCTGATACGTCCTCACAATTTATTGAAGAATCGAGCTCTCGCTTGGGACGTCTTTGCAATTTACCATCGGATCGCGGCTCCTGCTTGATACGTCCTCACAATTTATTAAAGAATCGCGCTCTCGCTTGGGACTCCCTCGCAACTTACCACCGAATCGCGGCTCCCGCTTAATACTTCCTCACAGTTTACTCAGATGCCGTTTTTCGACAGTCAGGAATCGCGCTCCTGGCGATTCAAGCAGAATTTACGCTTCAACGACCCGCCCGCTCGACCCGCCCGTGTGGGCCTGCCCGCCCGACCAGCCCGTTAGGGACTGCAGTCGCTGCTCGCTGCCCTTCGCCCGCCTTCGATGCCCCTCGCTGCCCGTACTGGTTCCGCGGTCGCCTTCGCTCGCTGCCCTTCGTGGCCCCGTTGCTGCCCTCAGTGGCCCCGTCGCTGCCAATTGTGGCCCCGCATTCTATGCCCTTCGTGGCCCCCGCTCGCAGTCGCCCGTCGTGGCCCCATACGCATGCCCTTCGTAGCCCCGCTGTCGCCCTTCGTGGCCCTCTCGCTGCCCTTCGTGGCCCCTTTGCTGCCCTCAGTGGCCCCGCTGTCGCCCTGTCTAGCCCCATCTATGTATGCCCTTCGTGGGCTCCGCTCGTTCGCGCCCGTCGTGGCCCCATATGCATGCCCTTCGTGGCCCCGCTGTCGCCCTTCGTGGCCCCCTCTCTGCCCTTCGTGGCCCCGTTTCTGCCCTCAGTGGTCCCGTCGCTGCCCTCTGTGGCCCCGGATTAATTGCCCTTCGTGGGCTCCGCTCGTTCGCGCCCGTCGTGGCCCCATATGCATGCGTTTCGTCGCCCCGCTGTCGCCATTCGTGGCCCCCTCGCTGCCCCTCGTGGTCCACTTTCTGCGCTCAGTGGCCCCGCTGTCGCCCTTTCTGGCCCCATCTATGTATGCCCTTCGTGGCCCCCGTTCGTTCGCGCCCGTCGTGGCCCCATATGCATGCCCTTCGTGGCCCCGCTGTCGCTCTTCATGGCCCCCTCTCTGCCCTTCGTGGCCCTGTTTCTGCCCTCAGCGGCTCCGTCGCTGCCCTCTGCGGCCCCCTATAAGTAGGCCCTTCGTGGCCCCCGCTCGTTCGCGCCCGTCGTGGCCCGCGCCAACGGTTCCCGCCTGCGTTCCCACAGGTTTTCGGAGCCTCTGGAAGTGCTCGGTGATCGTCGGGGCCATCCCGAGGCCCCCCAGAGGTCATAGAAGGCATTTGGGTGCCTTCCAATCCCCCCGCGCCTTGTTTCCGCACCAGTCTCCGCTCGTATCCACCTGCCCCCACTTTTTAACGTTCTTTCCCAGTCTTCTCTACTCTTTCACTTTATCTTCATGTTCATGTCGTTCGTACTCCATTGTGCTAGTTTTCAATTCTTCGCACTCCGCCCATTCCTCCCCAGGCCACTCCATCCCACACCAACAATCTCCACCCCTTCCCGCTCGCATTCCGCATTTCTCCCAAATTATTCCCAGTCCCTCCTCCAGATTCCTCCGTGCGCCCCCCCGCTCCTCCGCACTCCTCCCGGTTCCTCTTCTCCGCTCCTTGCCTCTCCTCCTCCGGACACCCTACTCTTGTCCATTCCATCCCAATTCACTCCACATCCCCGCGTTCCCTTCGACGCGGTTGCAGTTCTCGCTGTCCTTCCGCCCCGTTCTCCCAACATCCCGTTTCTTCTCAGGGTTCCACGACATTTGCCCCTGACGCCAGTTCGCAGCTGTGCGTCCCCCCGTTGGGGTGTCCGCGATATGTTCTTTCAAGGGGGTGGTGCGTGGCGCTGTTGATGGCGCGACCTGTGGCGAAACTTATTGTTAACCTGTGTTGGAGTGGTTGGCGCAAGCCATGGCGCAAGCTGAATCGCCACTCGCAGCGCAAATCATCGTCCTCCCTCCTTCTAGCCCCTCCCCTCCATTCTTCCGATCCCATCGTCCTCGTTCTCCCCCGTTATCTGTTGCCCTTCGTTTTCAAGGGTTTCGCCAACCACGCGTGGCAGGGAATGAATCTACCACCCAAAAGGGGGTGCGATCGAAAACGAAGTGGGCGGGTATCCAGGGTTTGGAATATGCATATTGAATGACACACGAGCACTTAAGAGCGAACAGTCTTAAACTTATTGTTGGTGTTGTTGGTGGTGAGGTGGTGGTGTTGGTTGTTGTTGTTGTTGTTGTGGTTGTTGTTGTTGCTGTTGATGTTGCTGCTGCTGTTGCTGATGTTGTTGTTGCTGTTGATGTTGATGTTGTTGTCATGGTTGTTATTATTGTTGTTGTTGTTGCTGTTGTTGTTGTTGTTGTTGTTGTTGTTGTTGTTGTTACGGCTGCTGCTGATGTTATTATTGTTGTGGTTGTTGTTCTTGTTGTTGCTGCTGCTGTTGTTGTTGTTGTTGTTGCTGATGCTGCTGCTGTTGTTGTTGTTGTTGTTGTTGTTGTTGTTGTTGTTGTTGGTGTTGGTGTTGGTGTTTGTGTTGTTGTTGTTATTGTTGTTGTTGTTGTTGTTGTTGTTGTTGTTGTTGTTGTTGTTGTTGTTGCTGCTGGTGCTGCTGCTGCTGCTGCTGCTGCTCTTGTTATTCGGTTGGCGGCCGTTCGGGGCGGTTCGGGGCTCCCGCTATGCTGCTGCAGGAGAGCAGGAGAGCATCCCGAGGCTGGAAAACCTCCGTGAGTCGACGAATTTCGCCGCAAACCTTCGGCCGTTTTTTTCCCACGACGCGAGGAGGACTGGGTCCTTCCTCTTTTCGAGGGCGCCGACGGGCAGGGGGGGCAGGCTCTACACTCGTGGTGGCCCCCCACAGGGATGGCCCCAGACTGCGCGGCAAAGCACGACGCTTCCTCCTGCCGAGTTGATCTGATCCGATCCGATCCGAGGGCCTCGATGTGGAACCCGATATCCACGCCCACGTTGCCGATGATTCGGCGACGCATCAGCGATGCGGCGCGATGCTCTGACCTCGCCTACTCGGACCCCATCTGGAAGACCTTTTGTTCCACGGCGCGAGGAGCACAGGGTCTCCACTCCGAGGGCGACGACGACGAGCGCGGCCCGCAGGTCGGCACGGCCCTGCGGCAGGGCGCGAAGGCGCTCGTCGGGGGCCGCCGGCCGGACGCCGCGCGCTGCCCGCTGGCCGGCGCGGGCCGCTCCCGCAGCGTCTTGCCGGTCTTGGCCGATTGGTGCCGTCGTCGGTCGCTGCTCGCCATGGAATTCGCGGCAGTTCTTGAGGCCCTCGCGACAGGTCGTGGCAGCCCAAGTGGAGGTTGTTTTGCTACCCTCTGGCGCGTCACGGTCGTTCCTCTTTCCCCCCTCGCTCCTCTTCCCTGGGGAACCTCGGGAGGTCTTCAGTTTTGAGGATCCCCACCCTGTTTCTTTCGGCGGGGAGTTAACTCCGCCCCTCCTCCACGTCCTCCTCCTCTTCCTCCTCCGTCGTTGTTGCGCGGCGGGTGCGTCGACAGGATGATTCGTTTCCGCTATTGGCGGGGTTTTAAGTCCGGCTTCGGTTAACGGCAACGACGACGATCGTACGTGGGGGAGGGGGGGGGCGGGCTGGGCCCCCTCCCCCCCCACAAGCTGGTCCTTGCGATGCGACGGAAATCGTACGCCATACGATTTCCGTCGTATCGCAAGGCAGCGCGGCGCACTTGTGAGAGTGAGGGTTGTGGTGTGACGAAGGTGTGTGGTCACTTCGAGGTCGCGTGTCGGGCGGCCGGCAACACCTTTCTGCGCCTGCGGGGGCGGAGGGCTCAAACGAGGCGCGGCGGCACCCCCGCCAGAAGCACCAAACCAACGTCTAGCGATTTCTGGCCCCTCCGCCGAACCTTCACCTTTCGCCGTCTTCGGGCTCTTTCGAGGCCCTCCACGGGCCCCGGGACCGTCGAGAAGCGACTCGGGATGAAGGGCTGGTCCTGGGGAACGCTCCGTGGCCCAGGACCCGTTTCCTTCAGGACCCGTTTTTTTCATGCCAAGTTGCCGTCGTCATCGTTGTCGTCGTCGTCGTCGTCGCTGTCGGCGTTGGCACGGGCCGCTCCCGCAGCGTCTCCTAGCCTCGGCCGACCGCTGCCTCGAAGAAAGAGATGACACGGCACACACATAAACTTTCGAAACCACGCTCTGATTTGTTCTCGAATTTACGAAATGGTGGCTGGGGCGTTGGTGGTTGGGCCAGTGTGCAGACCAGTCTGAATCACGAAAGCATGGAGCCACAATCCCTAGCCACCATTTCGTAATCCCAAATCGTGGTTAGCGGTACGGGGGTCCTGCGTGGACCTCCTGCGTAACCTGCCAACCACCATGTAGATTGCGAAATGTTGGTTAGGCCTGTTTGGGTAGTTTCTCACCGCGGAAGCAGACAGCAGTAACCACCATCGCACTCATCACCGAGTCGTCTATTCCGATTCTTGGATCGGCGCCGGCCCCCCTCCCTGGCGCGCGGAGCGCGCTAGCGGCGTGGTCGGTCGCTTCGTCTCCCATCGTGCTGCGCAGAGATCGGAGTAGAGACAACTGCATGAACATATTTCTTCGGAGCTCCATGCTGATTTTTTGGATCTGCGCTTGGCCCCCCAGCGGCGCAAGCTTGTCGTCGGTCGTCCGTCGTCGTCGCCGCCGCCGCCGCCGCCGCCGTCGCCGTCACCGACGCCGTCGCCGTCGCCGTCCCCGTCGCCGTCGCCGTCTCCGTCGCCGTCGCCGTTGTCGTCGTCGTCGTCGTCGTCGTCGTCGTCGTCGTCATCGTCGTAGTCGTCGTCGTCGTCGTCGTCGGCGTCGGCGTCGTGGTCGTCGTCGTCGTGGTCGTCGTCGTCGGACGAGGAGGACGGTGGAGGCGTTGGCGGAGGGAGTGGTTCCAGGAGGAGGAAGAGGATGAGAAGAAGGAGAAGGAGTAGGAACATGAGGGAGGAAACCAGACGAGGAGGATTAGAAGGAGGAACAGGGGGGATCATGAGGGAGGGCGAGAAAGGTGATGAGGATAATGAGGCAGGAGGAGGAGGAGGAGGAGGAGGATGGAGGAGGATGGAGGAGGATGGTGGCGGGGAGGATCGGGGAGGCGGAGGCAGGATGGAGGAGGGAGGGCAGGGGGGTGGGAGGAGGGGGAAGAGGGGGAGGAGTGAGGAAGAGGGAGTAGGAGGAGGAGGGGGATGAGGAGGAGGAGGAGGAGGAGGAGGAGGAGGAGGAGGAGGAGGAGGAACTCACGGAATTCATCCTGGCCTGGCTCCCGATTGCAAGTTCAGACCCCAGTGAAAGAATCAGGCTCCTGGGAAATCCACACCATGTTCAGGCGGGAGCCCCCCTCGCCATCCTGCTCAAACTCTGCTTCCTCGTCTGGATGGGGCGCGGAGGGCAGACATTTCCAAGCGTAGCAGGTGCTCACACAAACCTCCGCACGAGGCGCAGGACAGCACGCCTCGATACAGCTCCGAGGGCGTTCTTGGGATAGCCAAAGGTGGACTTCCCGAAAGCCCGACTGGGCTCCACGGTGAGACTCCAGCGGAGGACCCAGCTCCTTTGGTGGCACCCGCAGCCGCAGGTCGGCGGCGAGCGAGGGGGAAGTGAGATGATGATGCTGCTGATGATGATGCTGATGATGTTCTTGATGCTTATGCTGATGCTGATGATGATGCTGATGGTGATGGCGATGGTGATGATGATGAATATGATGATGCTGCTGATGATGGTGATGCCGCTGATGATGATGTTGATGCTGATATGATAGTGCTGTTGTTGATAATACTGGCGGCGATGCTGTTGACCATGATGATGATATTGTAGATGTTGATGCTGTTTATGCTGATGTTGATTATGATACTGATGATGATGATGATGATGATGATGATGATGATGATGGTGATGATGGTGATACTGATGCTGCTGATGCTGCTGATGATGATGTTGATGCTGTTGATGTTAATGCTACTGATTATGATGATGCTACTGCTGCTGCTGCTGCTGATGATGATGATGATGACGAGTATGATGTTGATGACAGTGATGATGCTGCTGGTGTTGCTGGTGATGGTACTGATAATGCTGATTATGCTGCTGCTGATGTTGATGATGATGATGCTGCTGTTGCTGCTGATGATGATGATGATGATGATGCTGATGATGATGATGCTGATGATGATGATGATGATGATGATGATGATGATGATGATGATGATGATGATGATGATGATGATGATGATGATGATGATGATGATGATGATGATGATGATGATGATGATGATGATGATGATGATGATGATGATGATGATGATGATGATGATGATGATGATGATGATGATGATGATGATGATGATGATGATGATGATGATGATGATGATGATGCTGATGATGATGATGATGATGATGATGATGATGATGATGATGATGATGATGATGATGATGATGATGATGATGATGATGATGATGATGATGATGATGATGATGAGGAGGAGGAGGAGGAGGAGGAGGAGGAGGAGAAGGAATGGGAGGAGTAGGAGATGGAGGAGGACTTTCATGAGGAGGAGGAGGAGGAGGAGGAGGAGGAGGAGGAGGAGGACCAGCAGCAGCAGCAACAGCAGCAGCAGCAGCGGGGCATCTCAGAAGTTTTCTATGTCGTCGGGGAAGGATTAAGGCTTAGAAGCTTCTCGGAAGGCCGGGGAACTTCCCAGCGTTCTGAGAAGACCCGCTCCCTCTCACTTCCCCCCGGGGTGGCAGTCGAGCGGAGCCACGACAAGCACCAGGCCAACACTTCTTCAAGGGCGCCTTTGCACCGCGGGGAGGTCAGGGCGAGCAGTGCATGCAAACGCCGACCTTGACCGCCACGCTGCCCTGGTCCGGGATGCGGGCGCGGTTCTGGCTCCCACTAGACCTACTGTTGCTTGCTATTCTGCTCTCGGTGGGCGATCTTCACGACGACGATCACATGTCAATGACACATTAGCGACGCAGAGAGAAGGGCCGTCATCACCGACACTGTCGCGAAGTTGCACGTGAGCTGCCCGCGTAGGGTCGCGCGTGAGCGTCCTCGTTTCCACTGGCTTGCCGCGCTGGCGGCCCGCGTAAGCCACCGCGTAAGGTCTCTACGTCATCTCCCGTGAGACCTGTTTTTTTCGTCGCTCACATGGCGACGTCTTTACACAGGGCGGCAACTGGAGTCTACTAGCTACTTGTTTTTGCAACACGAATTAGTTCGGGACTGAAAGCCCGCCATTCCGCTGTCACCCCAGATAGAGAGCACCAGCCACAGCATGATCCACAAGGCGGTAGGGAGGAGTCCAATTTTCGTCAATCTGACTGCAGGTGGGATGGCTTTTGGACGGTAGCTCTTTTTCCAGTGCCCTGTTGCCCTGCCTCTGCCCAATCGTCTCCCCTTGCCAGTTTGACTGGTGTGGGTAGGGTCAGCCCTTGTGGCTGCTTGGCTCAAGGGATCCCTGTCCGTGCCCGCCTTCTTCGCGCCTCATGCCACCCGCCTCATACGCCGCGCTACTGAAAAGTACGCCTTTCACTTCTGCGTCCTCATTTCTAGTCTCCCCCCGTCGACCCCCCCCCCCCCTCGTCCGCCGCGCGGTCGGGCCGAGGCCACTTCTTCGAGCCCACGGTTCTCACGGACCTGGGGGCGGGCGCCGCCCCTCCGCTCGGGGGGAAAAGCGCCAGGCGCGCGCGGGTACCTCGAGCGAGGCCTAGCCCGTCTCGTGCCCTCGTTTTCGTCCTCGTCGTGGTCGTCGTGGTCGTCGTGGCCGTGGTCGTGGCCCTGGTCGTGGCCGTGGTCGTGGTCGTGGTCGTGGTCGTCAGGGCTGTGGTGGTGGTGGTGTTGGTGTTGGTGGTGGTGGTGGTGGTGGTGGTCGTCGTTGTCGTCGTCGTCGTCGTCGTCGTCGTCGTCGTCGTCGTCGCCGTTCTCACCCGTGATGAGGAGTAGGAGGGGGAGAGGGAGATTGGCAGCGCCCGAAGGGGGTTGCGCGAGGGGCTTGAGCTTCCAAGAAGGCGGAGGGGTTTCTTAGAGGTCAGGTGCATTCTAAGAAGGCTTCCTAGAGGGCTTCTTAGAAGGCAGGGGCTTCTCAGAAGGCGGAGGGGTTTCTTGGAAGGCTTCCTAGAAGGCTTCTTCGAAGGCAGGGGCTTCGTCTAAGGCGGAGGGGCTTCTTAGAAGACAGGGGCATTCTTAGAAGGCCCTGGCGGCTTCTCAGACTGCTTCGCAGAAGCCCAGCCGTCTTCTTGGAAGCCGACCTCCCCATTGCGCCACCCCCTCGTGGGCGCGCCGCCAAGGATGGACAGGGAGACGCAGGAGGATGATGAGGAGCAGGGTGAGAGTCAGGAGGAGAACAAAGTCACAGACCCACATGAGAGTCGATTCTCAGGAACATCTAGAAGACAGTGGGAAGTGAGGGGGAAGACGAAGCTCCAGAAAATATGGGACGTGTGGGGAATCCTGGGATTGGTGCCCATTTATTTTATGTGTGTCTCTGTGTGTGTGTGTGTCCCTGGGCCCTCTGGAGAAGCAGGGTTATTTCCTCGTCCGCGTCGTCCCCTCTCCCTCTCCCTCTCAAGAGTTACCTTGCTTATCAAACTCGACGTGGCTTGGAGTAGTTTTCAATGAGCGAACAGCGCACTTCCGCTAAGCGTCGCTGATTGCCGCGTCCATCCACCGCCTAGCCCAACGTAGGGCCGCCTCCCAAGACGAGACATGTACAGTCTCAAGTCTCCAGACTCTCCCTCTCATGATCGCCTTCTGGTGCCCACGGGACGCATCACACGCGATTCCGATATTTCTACTGAAGCCTGCACGTATACGTATTTCGTTGTTGACGCGCAGTTTTGAACATATGCAGCAACAGCAGAGCGTCATATGACACATGCCACATTCTCGAAACGTCTCGAAGATATCATTCGGTCTTTTCCTTCATATTGATTTGGGAATCCTGACATGCGAACGGTGGCCGGCCACGAATTCCCGTGACGCAAGTATTGTGCAACCTTCCTGGAGAGGATGGAACGTGTGACATTTTCGCCTGGGTCTACGAGGGGGTCACAGATACGCTTGCGTAGCGACGCCAGACGGACATGCCTTCTGGCATTCTGCCGACAGGTGTGCTGGCTCGGCGTGAGCGCCATGTCCAGCACCCGTCGTCCTGTCATGGATGGCCGTCCGGCAGGCGAAGATTCCCAGAGGCACCTACCAGCTCTTCAGCGCGCGGTGAGCAAGAACGTGATTACGGTCAACCAGCGTCAGGACTGGCTTCTGCATCTTCCTGCGATACCTGTCCGACTTGCAGGTCTACGCGCAGGGTGCCGCCTAGGCTTGCCGTCCAAATGGTCTCTCCAGAGGCAGACACTTCACTGCCCTGCTTTAGGGAGCCAGCGTGGTTCGAGCGGTTCGGTCGCCCAGTTTTCGGTACTAGCCGGGTCTCAAGGAAGCTTAGACGTGTACGGAGACCGAGCTCGTCCACCGTCGTCCGTGAGGTCCGCGACGCTGGAATTGAGAGTGAACAGTGCGTGGCCCTCTTGGTGATGGACGAGGTTTTACTCGGAACGATTTTTCGAACGATTGGAGCTTCTTTCTTTGCCAGATCCCTGGCGTGTTCACATGCTATGAGGAACCCTCTGATGGTGTTGTCCGCACTCGAAGTGCCGGGATGGGATTGTAAGAGTTCTGTGCCGAAGTGGTCGAGCCGGCATTGCGACAGGCATTGGACGAAGGAGACCGTGACGCAACGTGTTGGCTCACGTGCCCAGGCAGTGGATGCCCTGACCAAAGGGAGCTTGCAAGCGTGTTGGGTCTTACGACTTCTGCAGCGCTGGTTCTGGCTCTCGGTGTTCGACGAGGGATGCTCGTCTCCACGACACGAACGCCCGCCATCTTCGGGAAAAAGGTATCTCCGAAACGACAGAGGATCCAAGATTAGGAGAGGGCCAAACAAACTATTGAGGTCCGCCGTCGCGTATTCGCCATTGTCAAGGATTCCCCCCGCCTGTGTCACGTCAGCAGTGCAGACTGGCGGCGCGGCCGCTGCCCTGTGTCAAGGTGTGGGCGGGCGGTATTAGACGAGCCTGATGGACAGCAGGAGCTAGCCTCCAGCGATGGGCAGGCTGGTGCGGTACAGAGGGACACGAAGTGTCTCGTCCTCGTCGTCTTCTACACCGACATGCCGATCAGACCTTACCTCTCCTAGGACTCGCCCAACGTGCTTGAACACATGTTAAACCCTGAGTGGAAGTCTTCCGCAGAGCAGAACACCTCCATGAACCTGCCTCCTGCCTTCCTTCTCCTCCCCCTTCTTATCTCTCTCTCTCTCTCCTCCCCCGCCCAATCCCTTCCAATGCCCCCTCCCTTCCCCCTCCACCTCCACCGCCTTCTCCTTCCCCCCCTCTTCTTTACTCCCCTTGCTTCCCTTCTGCCACCCTCGCCCCCCTTCCGTTTCTTTGCGCCCCCTGCCCACCTCGCCGCCCGCGACAGGACGTGACCCCTGACAACCTCGCGTTCGCCGAGGACGCCGCTACCCGCTCGCCCATGCCCCCCCCCCAGACCCAAGACCCATTTCGATCCGAACGGTCCGATTTGGTGTCGGTTCTGGCCGGCTAGATCCGATGATATCACGGGTCCCCAAACCGCGTAATGACGGACGGCGCGGCGGCCTCGAAATTTCAAAAGACCTCACCGCGCGGTCCGTCACCGCAAGTTTTTGGGACCTCGGAGGCCCCAGTCGCCCCAGACGTCCTCGGAGAACGACCCGAGCCCCAAACTCGTGGGTTGACCCCGAACCGCCACTGACCCACCACGCGGTGTGGTCACCACACCGTTTGGGGGCTCCAATATCCCGACGATTCGGTGCGGCTTGCACGGCGCTGCTATCCTGGCGCAGCCGGTCCGATCCGATTCCCATTTCTTGATCCGATTCGTCCAATCCCTCTCGCGCCCTCGTCGCGGTCCCGGGCGCCGCCGAACCCCGCTCGCTCCGAGCGGGGGGGGGAAGGGCGAGCTCGGCGCCGCGGGGGCCACTCAAAGGGCTGGAGGTCTCAGACGCCCCCCTCCTCCTCCTCCTCCTCCTCCTCCTCCTCCTCCTCCTTCTCATCCTCATCGTTATACCCCCTTATGCCGATGTCCTTGTCCTTGTCCTTGTCCTCATCCTCATCCTCCTCCTCCTCCTCCTCCTCCTCCTCCTCCTCCTCTCCCCTTTGCGCCGAGGAGATCTTCGGGCCAGTCATATCCCTTACCGAGTTCGGCGACGAGGCGGGCCGCCGCCGCCGCGCCGCCGCCTTCGCCGCCGCCGCCTTCGCCGCCGCCGCCGCCGCCGCCGCCGCCGCCGCCGCCGCCGCCGCCGTCGTCGTCGTCGTCGTCGTCGTCGTCGTCGTCGTCGTCGTCGTCGTCGTCGTCGTCGTCGTCGTCGTCGTCGTCGTCTTCGTCGTCGTCGTCCGACGAGGCGGAGGCGGTGGCCCTGGCCAACCGCTCCCAGTACGGCCTCGGCGGAGCCATGTGGACGGAGGAGCCGTCGCAGCTGCGGCTGCTGCTGCTGCTGCTACTGCCCGCCTTGGTCGTGGTCGTCCTGGTCCCCAGAGCCTTCTCCACTTGGGGGAGGAGGAAGATGAGGAGGAGGATGTGGAGGAGGAGGAGGAGGAAGAAGATGATGTAAGGGGGGGAGGAGAAGGAAGAGGATGATGATGATGCTGATGATGATGGTGATGCGGGAAGATGATGCGGATGCTGATGCTGCTGCTGATGATGATGATGGTGATTGGTGGAGGAGGAGGAGGAAGAAGATGATGTAAGGGGGGGAGGAGAAGGAAGAGGATGATGATGATGCTGATGATGATGGTGATGCGGGAAGATGATGCGGATGCTGATGCTGCTGTTGATGATGATGATGGTGATTGTGATGGTGGTGGTGATGATGATGGTGGTGGTGGTGGTGATGCTGATGATTCTGATGATGCTGATGAGGCTGTTGCTGATGATGCTGATGGTAATGATGGTGGTGCTGACTGCTGATGCTGATGATGATGCTTCTAATGCTGCTGATGCTGACGATGATGACCATGATGATGCTGATGCTGATGCTAATTATGATTATGATGGTGCTGATGCTGATGATGATGCTGGTGATGATGCTGATGATGCTGCTGCTGGTGATGCTGGTGATGCTGATGATGCTGATGCTGACGATGATGATGATGCTGCTGATGACGATGCTGTTGATGCTGATGCTGCTGTCGATTACGATGTTGGTGATGGTGATGCTGATGCTGACGATGCCGACGATGATGCTGTTGATGCTGCTGATGATGCTGATGCTGATGATGATGCTGATGCTGATGCTGCTAATGATGATGCTGATGCTGATGCTGATGATGGTGATGCTGATGCTGATGATGATGCTGCTCACGATGACAGTGCTGATGCTACTGATGCTGATGATGCTGACGACGATGATGCTGCTGCTGCTGCTAATGCTGATGCTGCTGATAATGATGCTGATGCTGATGTTGCTGATAATGATGGTGATCCTGATGCTGACGATGCTGCTGATGATGCTGATGCTGATAATGATGCTGCTAACGATGCTGATACTGATGTTTGCATTGGTGATGCTGATGACGCTGCTGACGATGATGCTGCTGACGATGACGATGATGGTGATGACGATGATGATGTTGATGATGCTGATGCTGCTGCTAATGCTGATGCTGATGCTGATGATGCGGATGAGGATAAGGATGTTGCTGATGATGATGATGCTGATGCTGCTGATAAGGATGATGATATCGATGCTGATGGTGATGATGAAGCTGATGCTCTTGCTGCTGATGATGCTGATACTGCTGATGATGCTGATGATGCTGCTACTGATGCTGCCGAGGATGGTGGTGGTGATAATGCTGCTGCTAACGATGATGATGCTGCTGCTGATGATGGTGAGGCTGATGCTGGTTCTGATACTGATGCTGATGATGAGGATGGTGACGATGATGCTGACGATGATGCTGCTGAAACCAATGATGATGATACTGCGGCTGATGCTGATGAGGCTGATGATGATGCTGATGCTGCTGCTGATGATGCTGCTGATGATGACAATGCTGATGAATATGATTATGAACATGATGATAATGCTGCTGCCGATGATGATGCTGATGATGCTGCTGCTGCTGCTGATGCTGTTGCTGATGATGCTGATGCTGATGCTGCTGATTCTGCTGAGGATGAGGAGGAGCAGGAGGAGGATGAGGAAGAAGACGAGGAGGCGGAGGCGTAGGAGGAGGAGGATGACGAGGAGCAGGAGGAGGAGGAGGACGAAGGCGAGGACGATGACGAAGAGGAGGAGGAGGAGGAGGAGGAGGAGGAGGAGGAGGAGGAGGAGGAGACGGAGGAGGAGGAGGAGACGGAGGAGGAGGAGGAAGAGGAGGAGGAGGAGGAGGAGGAGGAGGTGCTGGAGGAGGAGGAGGCGGAGGAGGCGGAGGCGGAGGCGGAGGAGGAGGAGCAGGAGGAGGAGGACGAGTGGGAGACGAACGGGGAGGAGGATTGAAGGACGGACGAGGAGGAGGAGGGGGAAGATGAGGAGGAGGATGCAGCAGGGGCGGAGCTATGCAGTTGATGCTCATATGCACGGCATCACTGAGGATTCAGTCGATTCCAATGATGAACTAATGGCGTTCATTGTGACGATTCTAATGGTGACGCTGCTGGTGATGCTGCTGACTATGGTGATGCTGAACCTGCTGATGCTACTGATTATGACGATTCTGTTGACGAGGACGGTGCCGAGTGCGATCATGACGATTAGGCGTATAATGATGCTGATGGTGCTGCTGACATTGATCACACTCATGATCAGCATTCTCATGCTGCTGAGGGTAGTTCGACGACTGATGACGTTGATGACGACGCTGATGCCTACGATGTCGATGGTGATGTTGCTGATGCTGATTCCGCCGATGATAATGATGATGCTGATGATGATGCTGCTGTTGATTTATGATGATGAGGATTCTGATGTTGTTGATGACGCTGCTGGTGATGCTGACGATGATGATGAGGCTGCCGATGCTGACGATGGTGCTGCTGATGCTGATGCTGCTGATGCTGATGATTATGTTGATGATGCTGCTGCTGATGATGATGCTGATGGTGCTGCTGCTGATGATGCTGATGCTGATGCGGCGGATGGTACTGATGCTGCTGATGATGCTTCTGATGCTGCTGCTGCTGATGCTGCTGATGATGATGCTGATGATGCTGAGGATGCCCATGGTGGTGATGATGATGCTGATTGAAGCTTCTGTCGATGAACATTGCGGTGGCATTGCTGCTAATGATGGTGTTGCTGCTGATGATGCTTCTGATGAGGACGGCGATGCTTACCTACGGTGATGGTGCTGATCGTACTGATGATGCCGACTGATGCTGTTGATGCTGATGATGATGCTGCTCACGACGACGACCACGATGCTGACCACGATGATGACGCTGCTGGTGAGGGTGATGACGAGGAAGATGCCGATGATGATGCTTATGAAACTGATGATGATGATGATGCTGGTGATGCTGGTGCTGATGCTGATGCTGATGATGATGGCGATGATGCTGTTGATGCGACGATGGTGACAGTGGTGTCGATGACGTCGATGATAGTATTGCTTCCGCTGGTAACGATGACGATGACGACGACGATAATGATACTGATGACGATGATGATGCTGATGATGCTGGTGGCGTTTGTAGTGATGATGATGGTGGTGGCTGTCATGATGCTGATGATGCTGATGATGATGAGGATGCTGATGGCGATGATGCGCTTCTAGTGCTGATGATGATGATGACGATGCGGTTCCTGTGGACTGTGATGACGATGCCGATACGATGATGCTGATGCTGATGATGACGACGATGTCGATGACGATGACGATGACGACGCCGACGACGAGCAGGATGATGATGATGCTGCTGATGATGATGATGATGCTGCAATTGCTGCTGCTGCTGCCGATGGTGATGCTGATGATGATTACGATGTCGATGACGATGACGATGGCGATGGTGATGATGATGATGATAATGACGACGACGATGATGATGCCGATGCTGATGATGATGGTGCTGCTGATGATTTCCATGCTGACGATCATGATGATGCTGATTATGATGAGATGATGGCGATGCTGGTGCTGATGCTGCTGATGCTGATGCTGCTGATGATGATGATGCTGATGTTGATGCTGACGACGATGATGCTGCTGATGATGATGATGATGATGATGATGATGATGATGATGATGATGATGATGATGATGATGCTGACGATGTTGACGATTTCTGATGATCATTATAACGATTATGATGATTACTGCGATGCTGCTGTTGATTATACTGCTGTTGATGCTGCTGCTGCTGATGACGATGCTGCTGACGACACGACGGCGCTGGCGATCATGGTGGTGGTGTTGGATGGTGTCAACACCATGCTGATGGAAATGAAATGGGAGGAACAAGATGACAGGTGTGGAGGACGATTGGGAGGGGGATACTTAAGCTTGTTAATGGTAACTGGAGGATCGAATATGGACGGATGCATGGGCGGATGGATGGATGGCTGGGTGTACGGATTCATGGATGATGGACGAACAACGACCAATGACGAATGGTGCATGGTGACAAGTTGAGGGTGAAATATGAGGATGGTGGTGAACATGGTAACGCTGCAGAAGGACGAGAAGGAGGAAGAGGAGGAGGGGGTGGAGGAGGAGGTGGAGGAGGAGCAGAATACGGAGGAGGCAGTTGGAGACAGGTGGAGGCAGGAGAGGGGGGGTAACATCGCGAGGCAGGGATCGAGGAAACAGTATCAGGGAAAGGAGTGACAATACACCCTCCCTCCCTTCCTTCCCGCTAGGCCCCCCTTCCCTCTCACTTCCCTCTCTCACTCTCATCCCCCGCGCCTCAGCAGCCCTTCCCCATCCCCTCCCCGATCCCCCTTCCGCCTCCTCCGCACCCCTCTGTTTCCCTCCGCTCTCCTGACTCTCCCCTTCTCCTTCCATCGTCTCCCCTCCCTCTGCCCCGTGCTCCCCAGTCTCCTTTCCTTTTCCCCGCCCCCCTCCCCTGCACCTTCTCTCCCAATCTCCACCTCCATCCTCCTCCTCCCAAAGCCAAAGAACAACCCATGGAATGACTGGGAGACAGATGTCTGTTGTCAAGCGCGGTGAACTGCTTGTCCTGAGGCGCTTCGGCGCCATTCGCCCCATCCCGCGCTGGGACGGGCTTCGCCCGCAGGTGGGTCTCTCTCTCTCTCTCTTGTCTATCCTCGCACTCCCCTCCCTTCCCCCCTCAGTCTGCCTCCCCTCCGTCCCCCCTCCTCCCGACTTCCCTCTCCCTGTGCCCCTCCTTTCCCCTCCATCTCCCGTCCACGCCACCTCACCGCCCTCCATCCCCCCCTCGTCGCCCTCCCCTCGATGATCCCCAGGACGTGCGTTAGCCCAATGTGTGTGTGTGTGTGTTTGTGTGTGTGTGTGTGTGTTATCCTGTTCCGCTCTACCGATAGCACGCAACCTGACACCACACACCACCTGTAACGTATTGAAGGGCTTCGGTGGACAGGTTGACGTTGGCGCTAACACACGTTCTGAGGATCATCGCCCTCCCTCCCCCCGTGTCCCCTCTCCTCCCCGTGCCCCATTCACCGGCAGCTGAGACCCCCCCGCGCCCCCCAAGGACGTCAGGAGAGCGCACCGCGTGGCCGCGCGCCCAGTGGGCCCAGCCCTCGTCGTCGTCGTCGTCGTCGTCGTCGTCGGCGGCGGCGGCGGCGGTGGTGGCGGCGACGGCGGGGTTGTCGTCGTCGTCGTCGTCGTCGTCGTCGTCGTCGTCGTCGTCGTCGTCGTCGTCGTCGTCGTCGTCGTCAGCGTCAGCGGCGTCGTCGGCGGCGGCATCGGCGGCGTCATCGACGTCGTCGTTGGCGGCCGCTTCGGTCCTGGCGTCGGCGTCGCTCGCGCGACACGTGCTCTTCGTCGCAGCTCGAGCTCTCCGCGGGCGGTTCACCTCCCTTGGTGAGGGGGGCTCAGGGGCAGCATGAGGGGGGGGGTCTGCTCAGGGGCAACGTTTCTGGTTCGAGGTTGGAGGTTTTCGGGCGCTTTCGCTGGTTCTCGGCGGGCTTCCAGCCTCGGGATGCGCTCCAGCTGCTGCGCCTCGCCGAGGGCGTCCCAGGGGTGCCGAGATCGTTCCGAGCGGTCGACGGAGGCCCGAGGCAGGTCCCGAAGCCAGGGACCGGAAGGTGAAGGGGCGTCAGGTGGGGAACAGGGTCAGGGGGGGTCATGGGAGGGGGAGGCGCACCGATCCCCAGTCGCCCATGCATAACCGATAGGGGCTCGAGAGCCCACCGCGCCCAGGAGCGCGTGCGGATTCGCAAACGGGGGCCCAGCTTCCTATTTCCACAGCTCAATGTTCCTTGGTGCCCTCCTGGCGTTTCCCTTCACGGGGAGGGAGGAGCCCACGCGCCCACATGCCTTGAGGCGCGGTCAGCAACGAGACGGGGACGGGCGTTACTCTTTGCGATTGCTGCAGTCTGAGCCGGGCGTTGCCAGAGGTGTGCCTGGCCCGAGGCGCCCCTTGGAGAGAGTTGTTTTCTTCCCGGACGATACCCGGCATTGCCAGGGGGGGAGATGGGCGGGGGGCCCGCAACGTCACGTTTCGCGCCGTCGCCGTCCGGGAATGTCCTAAGCATAACCGAAGCCAGCGCGGAGGTCAGCACGGATCGTGGCGTTACCTGGGGAGGAGGGTGGGAAGGGGGCGGCCGGGGCACGGCCGCTGCCGCGGAACAAAATAGCAAGCGCTGTCAAGGATCAAGGAGACCCTTGGGGAGGCCCAGGTGGCCTCCAGAGCACCCCTCACGAGTCCCAGATGGCCCAGGGTCCTCGAGCGCGTTCCACTACCCGCAAAGTGCCTGCTCGCAAACGTCCGAACAACAAACACACGTCTGCTTCGACGTAATGGATCGTAGATCCCGCGCGGCGGATCCAGGCCATTTGCGAGTAGTTTTTCTGCGAGTAGTGGAACGTGTCTGTCTACAAGGGGGCCCCAGAACAGCGCGAAAAGCTGGGGACACCTCGGGCCGAGACCACTTCCCAGCCCAGGCCTCCCGGCCCCGTTTTTCGGGCCACGCGGCCACCAGAGGCAGCCAGCGACCAGAAGAGCAGTAGCTGGTCCTGGGGTGGGTGCCGGGATGCTCAGACGCAAGCGCCGTGAGGCAAGTCACGGCGTTGGATGTCTCTGGAGCGGGAGCAGTGACAGGGATGGGGGGCAGAGGACGTCGATGCACGGAACACGGAATACGAGGGAAGACGTGTGATGGAGATAGGGGGACGGATGATTAGTAGGAGGCGGAGGAGGATGAGGAGGAGGAGGAGGAGGAGGAGGAGGAAGACTAGAGACTAGAGTAAACCAAAGATGCGCAAACGGTGTTGCACTACACCCTCCCATCCAAGCCTCCTTCTAGCACGCGCCTACAAGTCCTCTTCTTTCTTCTCGCTACAAGAGGCGCCCCCCACCAAGAAAGCCCAGTACAGTTGGGCCTGTCATTTTGGCCAGGCCCCCACTAAAGCGTATCCTCTGATTCTACTGGCGCGTAATCAGGGACGCGAGAGACAGTGATCATAGAGTTCAACGATATCCCCCTTTCGAAGAAGGACCGCCCCCCAGCCGTGCTACTCTTGCACAAGTTTACGCTTGTGGAAGTCTCAAATGGCAGCTCTATCTTGAAACGAGCTGCCATGGATCCGTGCAGCGCGGCGTGTGTGCAAGCTTCGGGTCTTTTACCCGAGCGAAGTCTCAGGCGAGAGCTCCAGTTTGAGAAGCGTAGGCCTTCATTCTGGTTCAACGTGGCAGTAGAAAACAAGTGCGCGCGGCGTTGAGGCGAGAGCCCCAGTTGAACGATCAATACTGAATCCTTGAAGCTGTTGCAAGATTTTGAGACAGATGTTCGCGGCGTCAAGTCGAGAGCCCCACTTTGAAAAGGAACCGCCTTACATCCGTGAAGCTAGTGCAAACTTTTAAGACGAATGTGCGCGGTGCTAAGGTGCGAGAGTACCATTTATGACACCTGTTCATCCTGGGAGATATTGCATAATCTTAGGGTGTACGGCGGGGACCACATGTGGAAACCACCCCCCCATCCATGAAACATTGCATATTTCCCAGACGACTGTACGCGGCGCGAAGGCGAGAACCGCCTTTTGAAACGATATCGCCCTCCGTCCGTGAAATGGCTGCAGTATTTTAGATGGATGTGTGCGGCGCCCACTCGAGAGCCAGTTCTGTTTGAAAAGGAGCTATCATGTAAGCTGATTGTGCGCGACGCCAAGGCGAGATCCACATAAGAAAGCTGCCCCCTCCATACGTGAAGCTGTCGTAAACTTTAATAACCAAGGTGCACGGTGCGTATGCGGGAACCACATTTTGAAACCCACCCCTCAATCTGTGCAGCGATTACGATTTTCAAGTTTCAGGATCACCCGTGGTGCAGACCTCTCAGGCAAAACGCCCCGCCTGCCCTACCGACACGTCCGTGGCTGCGACAGGGCGGAGTTGTCCAGACGGACAACGGAGTGGGAGTAGGAGGAGGATGAGGGGGAGGAGGAGGAGGGGGGGGGAAGGAGATTGAGGAGGAGACTGACGACGACGAGGAGGAGGACGAGGAGGAGGACGAGAAGGAGGAGGAGGAGGAGGAGGAGGAGGAGGAGGAGGAGGAGGAGGAGGATGTATTAGTACTCCACGGGCCGCCCGTCGCAACGCTCGCACCGAGGCCCGAGGCGAGGCTAAGAGGGGGCGAAGAGCCTGGGCGCCTCGCCTTGACCGCCGCCTTCGGCTTGAGCACCGTGATACCTATCCGCAGGATGTCCGCACGTAGACACCGAGGAACAACGCGCCCAGTGTCTCCATCTTCATCGCGGCAGCACGAGCGATAGCACGAACAACACAGGCATGAAGGCGGGTGCTTCTCGAATGCCTTGAAGTCCCTGCGCCTGGTCGGGTGGCTGGTGGGTATGGCCCGATGCTCGCGTGGATCTCGGCGACCATCTCCTCCCAATTCCACTCCAGGTCGTCCTCTTACAGGTCTTCGGGGAAGCGAAACGTTTCTCCATAGGGATCGTCCCCCAGGAGCGGCCACCAACCGTCCAGCAACGCCAAAGCCGCCTCTATGCTCGAGTACCTCAGGCCCAGGGCGCACGGGTGCACGTGCGGGCCAACGCCGACGACCTCGACGTGCGACTCCTCGCACATGTGGACGCACGCCTGCTGCACGGACGGCGACATGCCGACGGACTCCACAGGGTCCACCATCACGCCGAAGGCCACTCCTCCCACCACCTGGGCCTCCTGCTCAACGCAGGCTGTCGGGGAAATCGCCTCCAACCACCTGGACGTGGTGCGGAGGGCCAACCTCTCCTCCCACCACCTGGGTCGAGCTCCTCCCACGGACCTCTCCGCCCACCACCTGGGTCCTGGCCTTTCCTCCACCACCTGGGCCCTTCCCGACGCGGGGCTCGCACCCACGAGTCCACCGCAGACACTCTTGGCCTCTCCTCCCACCACCTGGGCCTCCAGCACCACCATGGCGGCAGCAGCACTGGCGGGCTCCACAGCCAAAGGCCTCGCCTTCCACGGGCACGCGTCCACCACCTCCTCAGCTGCGCCGCCTGCAGAGCCGTGCCCGAGCTCCTCCAACAGGAGCACCTCGGGAGGACCTCCCAAGACGGCCAGAAGGGAGCAGCATCGCGACGGAGCCGTTCACGATGTCGGTGCACCTCCAGCCGAGGTCCCCCTTGAGCGTGCCTGAGCTCAGCGCCCGAGGCATCTGCAAAGCGCAGACCTCCGCCATCAGCATGAAGAGCCGAATTGCGATGTAGCACATCAAGATGCTCTGGAACCTGGCCGGCCGGCATCTTGCTCAAAAAGGGCACCACTGCTAGCAGCCGATCGATCAGCTCACGGCCGCCTCCAGACACGAGCTCGACGGACACGAGGAGCTCGACGAACTTGTCCTTCTGCGCCATCAGCTTGGCATTCAGCCGTGCCACCTCGGTATGGGCAGCAGCGAGCCCGAGGTCTGCGGCAGCCTGCGCCCGCCGCCGAGCGGCCGAGCGCTCGGCACGCGAGCGCCGTTGACCTCCATGAGGATCGCCAGGCAGCGACCCTTTCCGAATCATCCCAAGCGATCCTTGAGCCAGAATGGCTACGGAGGAGGAGGAGGAGGAGGAAGGCGAGCCTGAGGAGGAGGAGGCGGAGGAGGAGGAGGAGGAGGAGGAGGAGGAGGAGGGGGAGGAGGAAAGGAGACAGCGGAGGATACGGACGACGAGGAGGAGGAGGAGGACGAGGAGGAGGAGGAAGAGCCTAAGGAGGGGCGGAGGAGGAGGAGGAGGAGGAGGAGGAGGAGGAGGAGGAGGAGGAGGAGGAGGAGGAGGAGGAGGAGGAGGAGGAGGAGGAGGACAAGGAGGAGGAGGAGGAGGGTGGGAGGATGCAGAGGAGTGAGGATGGCGATGATGATGAGGACCAGGAGGATGACGAGGACGGAGGATGGCGATGATGATGAGGATGATGAGGACGGGGGATGGAGGCACGATGAGGATGGCAAGGACAGCGTTCGCCCGTGGCCCTCGCAGCGGCCGCGCCTGGGCCTCCGAAGGAGCGTCCGAAGCTCGCCGAGGTGCCGAGGCCGGCCCGCGCGGCGCGCGCGCGCGCTGCGGGGGCCGCCGAGGCCAAGAAGCTCCGCAGCGGCGCCGCGCCCTCAGCCGCCGCCCGTGGGGCGCAGAGGGCGCCTCGGCGCGCGCTGGGGGGGGGGCGGGGGCGGGGCGAGGGCGAGGGTGAGGGCGAGGGCGTTCTAAGGGAGGCCTTCGCGGGGGTGCAGCAGAGGAGAAGGATTAGGCAGCCGATGGGGCAGCAGGGCAGGGGGCAGCAGGGCGCAGCAGAAGAGGGGGGGGGGGCAAACGGGGCCGCATAGGAGCGGGGGCGGCTGCATAGAAGGGGGGGCAGCAGAAGGGGAAGGGCCCGCGCGCGCGCGTTCCACCGCCCCGCAGCGCCGCCCGCCACCTCGCCTCTTGGACTCCCTCCTCCCTCTTCCTTGCCTCCACCCACCGTCGGGTGGGTGGACGAGGGGATGCCCGAGGGGGGCGACGATGGCGACGACGCCGACGACGACGATTCCGCCGCTGATGATGCTGCTGCTGATGATGATGCTGATGATGCTGATGCTGATGCTGATGCTGATGCTGATGATGCTGATGCTGCTGCTGCTGATGATGATGATGATGATGGTGATGATGCTGATGCTGATGCTGATGCTGATGCTGATGCTGCTTCTGATGCTGATGCTGATGCTGATACTGATGCTTCTGCTGATGGTGCTGATGATGGTAGTGGTGATGGCCATTATGATGATGCTGATGCTGATACTGATGGTGACGTTGATGCGGCTGCTGATGCTGATGCTGATTCCAATGATGAATGTGAAACTGAAGGTCGATACGAATGTAAGGAGGCTGCTGTTGCTAATGATGATGCTGATGGTGATGATGATGGCAGTGATGGTGATGATGGTGCTGATGCTGCTGATGCTGCTGGTGACGGCACCAGTGACGACCACGACGACGATGATGCTGATGATGATGATGATGATAATGATGCTGCTGATGATGATGATGATGATAATGATGATGATGATGATGATGATGCTGATGATGATGATGATGATGATGATGATGATGATGATGATGATGATGATGATTGTGATTCTTAGGATTTTGGCGTTGGTGATGATGATGGTGGTGGTGATGATGATTCTGCTGCTGTTGAGAATGCTGCTGCTGATGGTGGTGGTGGTGATGATGATGGTGGTGGTACTGACGGTGACGATGACGACGATGATAGTGATGTTGCTGATGTTGCTGATGATGATGATGATGATGATGATGACGATGGGGATTCTGATGATGCTGATGATGCTGATGCTGATGATGATACTGATGCTGATGATGCTGCTGCTGATGATTAGTATGATCATCCTTTTGTTGATGGTGGTGGCGATTGTGATGATGCTTCTGTTGCTGGTGCTGCTGCTGATGATGGTGCTGACGGTGCTCACGACGGTGGATGTTGCTTATGAGGATGATGCTGATGATGATGCTGCTGCTGATGATGATGATTCTGATTCTGATAATGATGCTGCTGATGACGATGGTTGTGGCGATGATGATGCCTCTGCTGCTGCTTCTGATGATGGTGATGCTGATTATGGCGATGATTGTGGTGATGATGCTGATGCTGCTGCCGCTGATGATGATGCTGATGATGCTCATGCTGATGCTGATGCTGCCGATGATAATGATGATGATGGTGATGCTGATGCTGATGATGATGATCAAGCTGCTGATGCTGATGCTGATGCTGATGCTGACTCTGATGCTGATGCTGATGCTGATGTTGATGCTGATGCTTCGGCTGATGATGCTGATGATGATTGTGGTGATGATCATTATGAGGATGCTGATGCTGATGCTGATGATGATGTTGATGCTGCTGCTGCTGATGAGGATTCCAATGATGAGTGTGAAACTGAGGGTTGGTACGAGTGTAAGGATGCTTCTGCGACTAATGATGATGATGATGATGATGATGATGATGATGATGATGATGATGATGATGCTGGTGATTATGCTGATGCTGATTATACTGATGATGGTCATGGTGACGACAGTGATGGTGATGATGGTGCTGATGCTGCTGATGCTGCTGATGACGACAACGGTGACGACCACGACGACGATGATGCTGATGATGATGCTGAT